TTTTTTTTACTTTATCTCATAAATTCTGCTACATGGTGTTTTTATTATTTTGTTTTCTTGGAATTTTATATTTTCATTTTGTATTTCTTTTTTTTTTTTGAGACAGAGTCTCGCTCTGTCACCCAGGCTGGAGTGTAGTGGCACAATCTCAGTTCACTGCAACTTCCACCTTCCGGTTTAAGCAATTCTCTTGCCTCAGCCTCCTGAGTAGCTGTGATTATAGGCATGCGCCGCCACACCTGGCTAATTTTTGTATTTTTAGTAGAGATGGAGTTTCACAATGTTGGTTAGGCTGTTCTTGAACTCCTGACTTTGTGATCCACCTGCCTTGGCCTCTCAAAATGCTGGGATTACAAATGTGAGCCACTGTGTCTGGCCTATATTTGTTTGACTCAAGGGTCATTTAATAGAGAGTTTTGACATTTTTTAGTCAATGTTTTCATTTTCTGATTTTATTATTAACATTTTTATTGTGTTTTCAGAGAGTTTTTTTCTGCATTAACTTTTGGAATATATTGAGGCTTTCTTTGTATCCCAATAGGTGAGCAATTTTCATGAATGAGTTTTTAAAAAGAAGGGGCATTTTCTGAGTTCAGAACTTAATATAGAACTGTAAGATCATCTTACTATATTGTTTTGGGTTTTTAAATCCATTTATTTTTCTTGGGATGTTTTTTCTTTTTTGTGTGTTCCTGCCTATTTCTCCTTCTTAAAATCCAGTAATCTTTATGAAAGTTGATACTCTGGTGCATAGATATTCATAACTGATAAAATTAATCTTAGCCTTATAAAGTCATTTAGATTTTAGGTCATTTGGAGCTTTTTGTCTAGAATTCTTTGATTTATATTAAGTTGTATCCCTGATATCTTTTGTTTGCCTTTTATGTCTTTGATCATATTTCTATATTTAACTTTTTAGAATATCTTTAAGTATATATTTTAGGATATAGTTTAGAACTGGATTTGGTTTGTGATTCAAACCCCATCTGTCCTCTAGTAGAATCCTTAGAAAGATGGTAGTATTCCCTGAGTTCTTGCATGTTTGTGCCTTTGTATTTGAAGCACAGCTTTGCTGTATGAAAATATTTTTCTTTTTAAGTAAATTAAGCATATTTCCACATATCTATATTACATATATCTGCTTGCAGTTACACTGTTTTATTTATCTTTTAAGTCTTTTACCATGTGGTCTGTTTTCTCTTTTTTGTTTTGGTAATTCTGCCCTATAGAAATATATGTGTTTTTGTTCTGTTGGTTTGTCTTTGGGTATTTTTTTTTTTTTTGAAATGGAGTTTTGCTCTTGTTGCCCAGGCTGGAGTGCAATGGTGCAATCTTGGCTCACTGCAACCTCCACCTCCCGGGTTCAAGTGATTCTCCTGCCTTGGCTTCCTGAGTAGCTGGGATTACAGACATGTGCCACCATGCCAGTTAATTTTTGTATTTTTAATAGAGATGGGGTTTCTCCATGTTGATCAGGCTGGTCTCGAACTCCCAACCTCAGGTGATTTGCCTGTCTCAGCCTCCCAAAATGTGGGATTACAGGTGTGAGCCACCACGTCCGGCCGTCTTTGTGTATCATTTTATATACCCTTAGTCTCCCTTTCTTGCTTTGTTTCTTTCCTATGATCAACAAGCAAATTGGCTTGTAAGTTCTTCATCTTCCTCTCCTCCACCACCCAATTATATTCAATAATATTATTTTTCATTATATATGAGAGATGACGTCTTTTGTAAGACATACCATTATGTCACGTACCACTTAGGTAAAAAATGTCAACTTATGACCATTAACTATAAAACACATTTTGGTTTCACAGATGTTAAAATGTAGGGGGAAAATGTGTTTTAAAGTCAATGAAACAGGGCTTGCTTGGCACAGTGGCTCATGCCTATAATCCCAGAACTTTCAGAGGCCAAGGCAGGAAGATTGCTCAAGGCCAGAAGTTCAAAGCCAACCTGGGTAACACAGTGAGATGCCATCACTGTATAATTTAAAAAAAAAAAAAAAAAAAAAAAAATTGGTGCAGTGGCTCACAGCTGTAATCCTAAGACTTTGGAAGGCCAACACAGGTGGATCACTTGAGCCCAGAAGCTCGAGACCAGCCTGGATAGCATGGTGGAACCTGATCTGTATAAAAAACACAAAAATCAGCTGAGTGTGGTGGCACATTCCTGTAGTCCCAGCTACTTGGGAGGCTGAGGTGGGAGAATCACCCGGGCCAGGGAGGTCGAGGCTGCATTGAGCTATAATCATGCCACTGCACCCCAGCCTGGGCCACAGAGCTAACCTTGTCTCAAACAAAACAAAAAAAAAATAAAAATTTAATCAGTAAAAGTCTTATTATTTACCATTGTACACTTATGCTGATGTTTCTTACTGGTTTATTCTAAATGATATTCTTTAACATTTTTTTCAAATTTTAATTTTTGTATTTTTTGTAGAGACAGGGTTTCACCATGTTGCCCAGGCTGGTCTCAAACTCCTGGGCTCAAGTGATCTCCCAAAGTGCAGGGATTACAGGTGTGAGCCACCTTGCCCATCCTCTCCAGTCATCTTTCGTTGGCCGACGCTCGTCCTCTAGTAGAATCCTTAGAAAGATGACAGTATTCCCTGACTTCAGGCATATTTGAGCCTTTGTATTTGAAGTGCAGCTTTGCAGAAGATAAAATTCCTTGGTTTACATTTTCTGTCCCTGAATATATTGTAGGTGTTCTTCTGTTGATTTATGGTGTTGAATGTTGTTATGCTAACTTGATTTTCTTTAACCCAAATTTTACTTAGATAAGCCTCACATTGACCATTCTGGGTAAATTTTCACATATATACAGTATGTCTTTCAATTCACATTATCTTTTATTTCAGTAATGGTCTAGTGAAGTATAGATTTTTTTTTTTTAAAGATCAAATTTAGGCTGGGCATGGTGGCTCACACCTGTAATCCCAGCACTTTCGGAGGCCAAGACGGGCAGATCATCTGAGGTCACAAGTTTTGAGACCAGTCTGGCCAATGTGAAACCCCATCTCTACTAAAAATACAAAAATTAGCTGGGTGTGGTGATAAGCGCTACTTATAAGTAATCCCAGCTACTTGGGAGGCTGAGGCAGGAGAATTGCTTGAATCTGGGAAGCAGAGGTTGCAGTGAGCCGAAATGGCACCACTCCACTCCAGCCTGGGCGACAGAGCAAGACTGTCTCAAAAAACAAAAAAATCTAATTTAGATAAATGTTACAAGAACAATACAAATATTTTTTCTTCTGGAAGTATTTGAAAGCCAGCAACATGAATGCTCCATCATCCCTGAAAACTTCAGTCTGTACCTGCATACAAGGATGTTCTCTTTTATAATTATAGTACAACCATCAGAATCAGAAAATTAATATTTATAGATTATTACCATCTAATCCTCTGTCTCCCTTACAAGTTTATCAGTTGTCCCAGTGATGCCTTTATAGGAAAAGTATCCAGTCCAGGATTACGCATTGTATTTACTTGACATATCATTTTAATCTCATGTAATCTGGAATAGTTCCTCAGCTTTACCTTGAATTTCATGTCTTGACACTTTAGAAGAACAGGCCAATTATTTTGTAGAATGTCCCTCAATTTAAATTTTGTCATGATTTAGATGCAGATTATATGGCTTTGACAGGGATGCTGATTCTTATGGCCTCCTATCAAGCAGCATAATTTCCATTTGTTTCAGTGTTGATTGTGGTCACTTGCTTAAGATGCAGTCAGACTTCTTCACCCTAACATGACTGCTTTTCTTTTTGTAATAAGCATTTGGTGGAGAGGCATATAAATGTCTCATTCATGGAATCCTTTTATTCAATGGGATATAAATCATTATCATAATGCTTAAATATTCTCAAATTTGGCCAGTTTGAGCTTAAACTGATTCTTTTAATAGACCTCCATCATTCTTTAGCAGTTTTACTTTATGTCTCAATAAGCTATTCCAGACTCAGCTTGTATAGTCGTTCTTCAGTATACGTGGGGGATTGGTTCCAAGAACCCTGAGTATACTCAAATCTGCATATGCTCAAGTCTCAACAGTTGGTCCTGCAGAACCCACATCTAGGGAAAAGCCCTCCCTAACCTGCAAATACTGAATTTTCCATCCAGGTGAAAATATTATGCATTTAAGTGGACCCGTGCAATTCAAACCTGTGTCATTCAAGAGTCAGCTGTACTTTCCAGCTTTGGAATGAGCAAGATCTCCAAGGAGCCCCAGTTCCTTTTAGAGGAGAATGCTATTTGGAAACCAAGATCTGGATACTAGTTGTGCTCATTGCTGCTAGGGTGTCATTTCTTCTAGCCCTCATAGTGGATTGGATAGAGCTAGAAAATACATGTATGTATATGAACACAAATACATCTAGATTCTAATCCAGCACCATAAAGTTCACCTTCAGCCTTTCCATTTTTAGAATTCCTTTATCTGAAAATGTGAAACTTCAATATTTATTTGCTTGCTTACTATAGTCTCCTGACCCTGCTGTCTTCTGAGCATTTGGAGGGAAGAGGTGGTAACCAGAAGTAGAGCAGTGGTTCTTTTTTTTTTTTTGAGTGGTAGTGGTAGTAGTATATTTAAGGAAAATAAGTGTTCCTTAAATTCTGCAATTGTCAGTTGTATGTTACAATTTTCGAAATACAAAATTGTTAAAGCAATTCATCACATTAATGATTACAAGAGAAAAATTATCAAATCATCTTCACAGAGTATACGCACTATGAATACCCAGTGTGATATTCGCATAGGGAGTGTACACCTGTAGGATCAGGTGTCTAACTGAGAGTACAGGAGAGAGGAAGCAGCTGAAATCCAAATGGTTTGTTGTAAACATGAAAGGATCTAGATTCTGGGTGATTTATTTGGAGGTGACAATTACTCCTCTGAAAAACAGTAAATCATTTCAATTCTTAACCAGAGCATTTTTCTGAGCATATTTCTAATAGAGGTACCATTTGTGTTTATGAAAAAAATTAAAATCTTACATTTTCGTCAAAGCCTTCTCTTCTGGCTTGTTCAGCCAAATCTCCACTGTCTTTAGTACTGAGAATATAAAATAAAGATCAGAGGCAAATGGTAGTAAAAAAGGAAATTGCACCATAAAATGCAATCGGATCTGTAGTAAGGATCTGAATAGTCTCTTTCTGATAGAAAATGTGATCATTAACAAGTTCTTCAGAATATCATATGTCATTAACTGTGAAAAAAATGTTTCCGTTCCACTGCCAGAGTTTTAGGTTTGGGAAGTGTTTTGACACCAAAGTCATTTAATAAATATAAGTGTAAATACAATATAAGTTTAAGTATTGTTCGTAAGTATTGTGTGTAAAATGTTATTTTTATAGCCAAATAAATGCATTTAATTTAGACTAAAATTGTTTCCTACCTTTTTAGAGGGACTTTATTCTCCCCTCCAGCTTTCTCTCACAGCTTTTTCTGAGTAGGATGGCAGGCTTTATATTAATTTTAAATTAGCTTAGAATTTCATGATGTCAAGAAATTTGGCGTCACTCCTGGATGTACTGACAATGTATTTAGAATCACCACATAGGTTGGTGGTAGTTGTTTCGCAATTAAAACCTTTACTCGTGGCCGGGCACAGTGGCTCATGCCTGTAATCCCAGCACTTTGGGAGGCCCAGGTGGGTGGATCACCTGAGGTTAGGAGTTAGAGACCAGTCTGACCAACATGGTGAAACCCCATCTCTATTAAAAAACAAAAAAACAAAAAACTTTACTCATAAGGTTTCATATAATGTAGAACTTTAAAATGGTGAGCTAAACATTTGAGAAAAGTCATCTTACGTTTTCTTGTCTTCATCTTTTTGAGCTTTCTTCAGTCTGAATTTCTCGAGAACATTCTTGTAACTCTGGGCATAATTAAAAATAGTTTGAAAATTTATCAAAATATATCTTTTATTATTAATGTTTTATCAAGGTAAAAGAAATATGAAATGCTTGTCCCTCTGGATTGCTACCCTAAAGGATTGTGGAGGTAATACTGTGATTATCCTTCTTTCACCTCATTGCTACATATGGTTTATGCCTGCTGTTGAAAACACAAAAGGGTTTCTTCTGTTGGGGGCATCATACTTGAACTTGGAAAAAGCAAAAATCTTTAAAAAGCGTTAACATGTGTTGCATTAAGAATGTTAACACTTAATGAATATAACCAGCGTCATGAATTCAAGCGATAAAAGATGGGGAGGAAAACAAACTCACTGAGGAATAGCTTAACAGTTTTTCTGGTTTGTTTTACAGATTAGTTCTTGGACAAAGTCTGTAATCCCCACTAACCCCACAAGCATTCCATATCATAGGACCTCTTTTCTGTGAAGTGCTATGCTTTAGGAACGTGGGGTATGCAGAGATGGCCAAACTGACCATATGTGACTGGTACATATGTAACTGCTACAGCTCAAACTGAGCTGTAGGTATTGAGAGGAGGACAGGACAGATTCCACTTTTTAAAGAAGAATAGAGTGGTAGCCAGAGAGAAGAGCTGTAGCAATATTTCAGGGGTCAGAGAATGACCTGAACAGAGGCTCAGAGAAGAGAACAAGCATGGCATATAGCACAGTGCTCAGAACAGATTAGCCAGGACACACAGTGTTGTAAATAGAGGCAGAAAGGCAGAAGCTATAGTAAAATTATAGTTAATGAAGATAGTTTGGGACTGTGAGACTTGAGGATTTGGAATATTTGGGTAAGGAATTCGGACTTGACAGGCCTGGGGAAACTGATAATCAGATCTGGACTGGCACAGGGAAGAGGCTAGAATAGTCAGGAAATGTTACCATAGTGAAGGCTGGGTGAAAAGTACTGAAAGCCTCATCTAGTGGTGGCAGTTAGAATTTAAAGTATTCCACAAATGTAAGCAGGAACTACAGAGATAAACTATACATAAGCCATGACAAGAGATTATATAAGGGATAAGGAAGCAAATTCTTTTCAAGGTTTTTGAGCCAGGAATGACTCAGAGGATAGTGCTGCCATTAACAGAAACAAGAAAGTGAGGAAGACAAGACACACAGAGTTCTGAGTTTAGATTGTTGATAGAAATTTAATAGCACCCAGAGTAAAAACTTACCAGAAGCAAGTTTTATTATAATACTCAATAGTGCTTTGCATTTAGGAAATCACTCAATAACTATTTGATATATTGAACTCTGAAATAATTTTGGCTACATTTTTAAAGCCAGAGAGCATATCTCACTTCCATAGTAATGAAATAATGTGAATATGAGTAACATTGGATCAAAACACAAAAACCAACCCTGGGGGTGGGATGGAGTGGGAGTGGGGAGAACATCACCACTTGGGGTTAAGTGGTATTGAAACTACAAGAGGATAAGCTTTATGAGATTTGTCTTAGAATTCTAATTAGGAAAGGAGTTTGATTTACCTGTTTAATCATTTTACCAAGTTCAAAATCGGGCCTTCTGCCTATTGAATAATCAGCTTTCACTTCAGAATAGGTATCATTAATAATTGCCAAGAACATATTCTAGGGATAAATAGCAGATAATTATTTCAATAAAAATTTAGTTTAAATGTTAGTGACTTTAACATGTTTTGGATTTGTAAAATTATGTTTAAATTTTAAAAGTAGGCTGGGCACGGTGGTTCATGCCTGTAATCCCAGCACTTTGGGAGACTGAGACAGATGAATCACTTGAAGTCAGGAGTTCAAGATCAGCCTGGCCAACATGGCGAAACCTCATCTCTAACAAAAATTAGCCAGGTGTGGTGGCACACACCTGTAGTCCCAGCTACTTGGGAGGTTGAGGCAGTAGAATCACTTGAAGCTGGGAGGCAGAGGTTGCAGTGAGCCAATCATGCCATTGCACTCCAGCCTGGGCAACAGAGAAAGACTCTGTCTGAAAAACAAACAAACAAACAAACAACCAAATTTTAAAAGTAACCCATATGCTCAAAAATTGTGAAATGACTATGCAGACAATAAAGTAGAATAGAAAATGTGTAGTGCGTGGGTATGGGCAAATTTGTTTACAGTAAATGAGATGCAGAATGTAAAAGAATGCACATGAATTGATTATATATACATAAATTCATATTACATAATGGAAGAAAATTTAGAATGATGTAATTTTGTGTTCATATGGGTGTTTTTTATTTGTTTTTGAGACAGGGTCTCAAAAATGTTACTCTGTCACCCAGGCTGGAATGCAGTGGTACAATCTCAGCTCACTGCAGCCTCTCCCTCCCAGGTTCAAGCGATTCTCCTGCCACCCAAGTAGATGGGATTATAGGTGTGCACCACCATTGCCTGGCTAATCTTTGTATTTTTAGTAGAGACAGGGTTTTGCCATGTTGCCCAGCTGGTCTCGAACTCCTGAGCTCAAGTGATCTGCCTGCCTTGGCCTCTCAAAGTGCTGGGATTACAGATGTGAGATACTGTACTTGGCCAAGGGTGTTTGTTGTTGGTGGTGGTGTTTAATTATAGAAGCTGCTTAAATTCACAGTCTTACTACAGCTCCTACAACTACTAATGTCCAGATAACACAAATGTAGAAAGGATATTCTTATCTTCACCAACCTACCTTTCACTGTGGCCCAGCTCTAGCTCTGTAACCCTAAGACTGTTGTCTGTCACCAGGGGATAGCTTCTGTGCCTGACAAAAAGTGTTTTCATGGAGGACAGTAACAATGCCTTGACTAGGAAGGCAAGGTTCCTGGTTAGGAAGGCTGTTCTGAGTGCATGTGAGAGATCCGTCCTGACAACTCCTGAAAACCACAACATGGTAAGCATTTAGCCCTAAGGGCCAAAAGCCATTGCAATCTGGGCAGAATAATAATGGGCAAATTCATAGCTCATGGCATGCACTGTCCCAGCCTGAAGAGACCTGGGACAGTCCAATTATTTATGTAAATGATTTAGCACATTCCCATCTAAAACACCCAGATGTTAACTACTGTGATTACATTCTCCATTAGACAACTTGAAAACAGTCACTGGACTAGTGAACCTGGATTACTAGGGATCCACACAATTCTTAATAAATGTAAAGTACAGCTGAGCAGAGGTAATAGTTTCTTCTAAATGAGTAATTTTATTTTGTATTCTAAAATGTAAGAAATGTAAAGAATATGTATGATCATTCTTACCAGCAGGACAAAGAACACAAAAAAGATGAAAGTGATGAAGTAAATGGGTCCCAAGATATGATTGGCTTGCTGAATACCAGCAAAATTAAAATCTCCAAGAACAATTCGAAATTGTGCAAATCTTTAATTAAAAGAAAGAAAAACATTAGAAAATATATTCCTTATGTACATACATGACAACTAATGGGATTACAAATGTCTCTAGGAGGATATCTAGCAGCATATGGCATATACTTTCTGATGTTAATTATGTTAGTACAGAGTTGTGTAAAATTGGTTGTAAAAAATTCCCCTAAATGAAGGACTTAAGGTACCTCAAGAGCTGAACAGGTAATGTAGGAAATGACTGCTTTTTCTTTTTTAGACAGAGTCTCACTCTGTTGCCCAGGCTGGAGTGCAGTGGCATGATCTTGGCTCACTGCAACCTCCGCCTCCCGGGTTCAAGCGATTCTCCTGCCTTAGCCTCCTGAGTAGCTGGGACTACAGGCACCCACCTCCATGCCCAGCTAATTTTTGTATTTTCAGTAGAGATGGGGTTTCCCCATATTGGCCAGGCTGGTCTCGAACTCCTGACCTCAGGTGACCCACCTGCCTCGGCCTCCCAGAGAGCTGGGATTACAGGTGTGGGTTACCATGTCTGGCTGAAATGACTGTTTTAATGAATGTGAACTCAGTGTGCACCTCTAACTTTTTTTTTTTTTTTTTTTTTTTTTTTCTGAGACAGAGTCTCATTCTGTCACCCAGGCTGGAGTGTTGTGATGCTATCTCGGCTCACTGCACCCTCTGCCTACCAGGTTCAAGCAATTCTCCTGCCTCAGCCTCCCAAGTAGCTGGGATTAAAGGCATGCACCACCACGCCTGGCTAATTTTTTTGTATTTATAGTAGAGATAGGGTTTCACCATGTTGGCCAGGCAGGTCTCAAACTCCTGGCCTCAAGTGATCCACCTGCCTTGGCCTCCCAAAGTGCCGGGATTATAGGCATGAGCCACTGCACTCAGCCCACCTATAACATTTGAACCTGAGATACCTGTTTACTAACTGGTTTTGGCAGTGGCCTCCTTGGCCGGCCATCTCTGTGCTTTTCTAAATATTAGAATGTAGACTTTGTTCAACAAGTGATTTATTCAGCTTGTAGAAAGTTTAGACCTAAGAGCTCTAAACTTTCTAATGTCAGTGTTTAATTTTTGCCTTAACCAACTTTTAAATTCTGATAAAATAGGAATACCAACAATTTGTCACTTGCTAGTAGTCTCAAATAAGTTCTGGTAATAAGACTCAACATGATCCTAAGGTTCATTTTACCTTCTTTGATGCCCTGGTTTGATATGAAATACCACCTAAAATATTTCAGACCTTGCTTTTTCTAATTTTAAAGATGGAAAATGAAGAAATTAAGACTTTGAGTAGCATAGTAGTAGCAAGTAGAATTAGAATTTTCTAACTTGAAAATCTTATTTTATATTCTCATTAATGTGCAATGGTGCACCAGACATATCAGGAATATCAGTTTAAATTATGTGTGTGTTCTTTATTTTATGAGGAAATTTGGAAAGTTGTTTTTTTTTTGTTTTTTTTTTGTTTTTTTTTTGAGACATTTGTTTCGCTTTTGTCACACAGGCTGGAGTGCAGTGGCAGGATCTTAGCTCATTGCACCCTCTACCTCCTGGGTTCAAGCAATTCCCCTACGTCAGCCTCATGAGTAGCTGGGATTATAGGCACATGCCACCATGCCTGGTTAAGTTTTTAGTAAAGACGGGGTTTCACCGCATTGGCCAGGTAGGTTTCAAACTCCTGACGTCAAGTGATCCACCCACCTTGGCCTCCCAAAGTGCTAGGATTACAGGTATGTGGAAGAAAATTTTTAATTGTATGGTGATAACTCTGTGTGATTGGTCAGTGAAAAGGGAGAAAGGTTGCTTGTCCCTTTTTGCTTTTGCCAATCACATAAATGGAGTAGAGAACTATCTATAATGAAGGAAGAAAAAGCATTCAAAGAAATGGGCTATTGGAATACTAGAACTCAGAGTTTTCCTAGGTTCCATCCTCGGTACCTAGCTAAGACCTGACCAAATCATACTTAAAGTATTTATCTTGCTTTTAATACTCGTTTGTAATGCGTTCCTACATAAGATAGAGAAAATAATGAATTGGAAGGAAACCAAGTCTCACCACAAATTAAATATTTTTTCTGGCATAGGAATATGTTTTAGTGTTTCTGCCATGATCTTTTATCTTTGAGTTGCTATTTTATAAAAAAAAGACAAACAATTTCTCATTCTTCTCTCCTGAAATTAGCTTAGTAACTAAACCTTCCATTCAGCCCTTTTCTATGAGGAAAGCGTTAAGATACTTCTGCTCTGTAAAGAATAATGAGAATGACAAAAACCGAAGCATTTACTGAATGATTATAATCTCATAAATACTGGAGGCTCCAAATACAATGTCTCTTTTCTTAATTGGAGCTTAGTTTATCCATTTGTTTCTTTTTTGCAACCTGAAAACAGTACCATGACACCTCAGCATAAAGGGTTATATTATCCTAAATGTTGGGATTATAGTTGCGATGGTACCCAGCCTAAACCTGTTTTAAAAATACGTGCTTGGCAGGTTAGCAAAGGACAATCAGGTCAATATCAGTAAAAGTATTAAGATGGAGTCCTCTAAAGAAAACATTTAAGATTTCTTTTGGCTGGGTGTAATCCCAGCACTTTTGAGAGGCCAAGGCAGGAGGATCGCTTGAGCTCAGGAGTTCAAGACCAGCCTGGGCAACATGGCGAAACCCCATCTTAAAAAAAAAATGCAAAAATTAGCTGGGTGTGGTGGCATGCCCAGCTACTTGAGAGGTTGAGGTGGGAGGATTGCTTGAGGGAGCTCAGGAATTTGAGGCTGCAGTGAGCTGTGATCATGTCATTGCATTCCAATCTGGGTGACAGAGTGAGACCCTGTCCCAAAAAAGAAAAAAATAAAGATTTCTCTTGCCCAGAGAATAAATACTATAGAGACATGGAGGCCGATTTCCATTATTTTAGGTAAAATAATCACTTCCAATGAAAAATTATTTTTCTATTTTTTTTTTTTTTTTTTTTGAGACGGAGTTTCGCTCGTTACCCAGGCTGGAGTGCAATGGCACGATTTCAGCTCACCGCAACCTCCGCTTCCTGGGTTCAGGCAATTCTCCTGCCTCAGCCTCCTGAGTAGCTGGGATTACAGGCACGTGCCACCATGCCCAGCTAATTTTTTTGTATTTTTAGTAGAGACGGGGTTTCACCATGTTCACCAGGATGGTCTCGATCTCTTGACCTCGTGATCCACCCGCCTCGGCCTCCCAAAGTGCTGGGATTACAAGCTTGAGCCATCGCGCCCGGCCTCTATTTTTTTTTTAAGATGGGGTTTCACCATGATGGCCAGGCTGGTCTTGAACTCCTGACCTCAGGTGATCCACCCACCTCGGCCTCCCAAAGTGCTAGGATTACAGGCGTGAGCCACCACGCCTGGCCAAAAATGAAAAATTATTTTTCTAACCTGACCTAGTAATAGCTTAAAAATGGACACCATAATCCATTTGGATCCTTCAATGCCAAACCCTAATTTGAGTGTGACAGATATTTAGCCATCCAAGAAAATATCAGCCAGGTGTGGGGGCTCATGCCTGTAATTCTAGCATTTCAAAGTTTAAAACCAGCCTGTGCAATATGATGAGACCCCCCTGCTACAAAAAAATAACAACAAAAAAATCAACCAGGCGTGGTGATGCACACTTGTAGTCCTAGCTACTTGGGAGGCTGAGGATTGCTTGAGTCAAGAAGTTTGAGTCTGCAATGAGCTATGATTACATCACTGCACTCTAGCTTAGATGACAAAGCAAGACCTTGTCTCAAAAAAAAAAAAAAGAAAAAAATCAAACTAAATTTAAATATATTAAAGCTTATATTACTACTTATCATAGAAGGTTAGACCTTTCCATTTTTTGTTAGAAAATATAGAAGATATAATTACATTTATACTAAGAGCTTACATGGAATTCTGAAAAGTGGAAAAGTCATCAACTTGTGATCCAAAAACAAGAAATCCTAACTGGGCATAAGCAAAGAATATTATAAAAAACATGATGGCAAATCCTACTATGTCTTTAATACAACGTGACAAGGTTGATGACAGTTGAGACATTGTCTTATTAAAGCTTATAAATCTGAATATCTGAAAAAGAACAAAGTTAATTGAAATAGGAGAATATCAAAGGTTATAGTTACTTAGAATAAATTAAATTAATTTCAGAAAAATTCTGCTTTGAATTACAGAAGATATTTAATGATAATCATAAGTGTTTGTGGATTTGTCAGCAATCATTACAAAGCCAAAGTTTTTTGGTTTTTGTTTTTTTTTTTGGGGGGTCACCCAGGCTGGAGTGCAGTGGGGGATCACAGCTCACTATAACCTCCACCTCCTGGGCTCAAGGGATCCTCCCTCCTCAGCCTCCAGAATAGCTGGGACTACAGGCATGCACCACCAAACCCAACTAATTTTTTTGGGTATTTTTTGTAGAGATGGGGTTTCACAGTGTTTACCAGGCTGGTCTAGAACTCCTAGGGTCAAGTGATCCACCCGCCTTGGCCTCCCAAAGTGTTAGGGGTACAGGTATGAGCCACTGCGCCCAGCCCAAACTACTTTTAAAATTACTTAATAGTTAAGAAAATAATTTTTCCCCATGGCTTTTTAATTTTTCATTAGCTATTACACTGTTGTATTATGTAATATAATAAAATATAAATACCTTTATCCATGCAAAAAAGATGGTAATAGCAATTATATTGTTGTAATAAATGTGCCAGTATGCAAGAAAATAGAAATCTGAATATTTTTCAGTACTTTTCAATAGCTGTCCAAGTAGGAGAAAAATTTGTATATTACAGTATATGTTGAAGGAAACAGCTACAAAACACAACTAAATGGGAAAATAAGAAGGGTTAAATTAGAGAATATCTCTACCTCTAAATATCTTACAGTCTATGAGAAAGCACACAAAAAAGTTCATCAAAAGTTTAACAAAGAGGGAGAGAAAGATAGGACATATGCTTTTACATAAATGGAAATTACCCTCAACTTATACAAGTTTAAGGTAGCATTAATTATTATGAAGTAGAAAAACATTAATTGCTTGGCCATCCTAACCTATCTAAATCTTTATTTTTTTGAGCCGTAAAACACAAATGTATAAAATGATTATGTAACTCTGAGACCATAAGGATTTCTGCTCTATATAATACCTAAAAGCTAAACATTTTCTACCATGTAATACTACAAGAAAAACAATTTACAATTACAAAAAATAAAACCTTCTGGAACCCTTTAACAATACTTTAAGAGAGGATTTCAGAACCAGGTTATTTTAGCTATTAGAGCTTTGTAACTGACATGAAAATTTTCCTTTGATTTTCCTTGACTGAAATGCTCAGATAAATATTTAATGCTATGTCCTTTGTAAGACATTAGTGGAGATCCCAGAGAGGTAGGTGGCGTACTTTCTGACTCTCAGAAACTTTCCATCTGGTTTTGGGAAACATGGCTTAAGTACTTGATTGGCTGTAATTAAGGGCCAATAAGGGTGAAAGATTAGATTGTATTAAGCCAGAAACATTGGTTCTTTGTTCCTAAGACCAAGCTCTTAACATTTGTCTAGGCCTGCCTAAATCTCTTTTTATTTCATTACATTCCATTGACTAGAACTGATAGTCTTTGGTGTTACTTTTGGGGACAACTTCCTCAATCCTGGTGCCCTCTGGACCCACAAGGTCCCCTTTGGCTGCTTACCCCTGTCAGTATTGTGCTTAGCCTTGTCATTTGTCTGTTTTTTCAAAATTTATTACGAGGAAGAAAATAGATTTAGGCAACATAGATCATTTTAAACAACCTTGCCCCAACAGACCCATGATTGGTGAAACTCAAGGCCCTGTAAGTAATACATTTTTTGAGTAGGGGTAGGGAGACTTACCGTGCACATTAAAGTATAATATTTCTGGAATCACCTTTCCCTGTAGGTTTATGCTGACCCTCCCAAGGACCAAATCAGAAGAAAATAGATCTCTCCCCTTTGGAGGCACACCATTATTAGTACTATTCCGGTTCATTTTAAGTTTGACACTTGTAGCTTTGAAAATAAGTCCTGGATGAAAAGAAGATTTTTTACACCTCCATTGGTAGGTTCAGATGTTATTCCCTTTAACCATACACATGAATATATACTCACCAGCAAAAGTAGCAGTTCTAGCCAGTTCCAAATACTTTTGAAATAGTCAGACTTAAATTCTTTTATTTTTTTGACTTCTTGTGTTGTGAAGACAAAAAGGAAAATACAAAATATGATTTCACAGGAAGCAATAAAATAATCATAGTAGCTAACATATCTGAGGAGCTTCACAGAGTAAAACTGCCATGAAGTAACTATTCCTCCAGTTGCAGGGAATTCTGCCACCAATCTGTAAAATCAGGTTTGTGAAAGCAGCTGTTCATTTCAAGCATTTGTATTTCAGTACTTAATGTGAAAATTTCAATCAATGATTATGTATACTTTAATAATAATCAGTTTTTTGTATAAAATGTTTCCTTGGGGAAACGGGTTCAATTTAAGCATCTTCTAGATTTACTTATTTCATAGGGGCTCCACTTTTTCTCTACCTGAATATTCACAGTGGTCAAAGACCAATGTAAAGGAGAAAGCAAGCTGCGATTTTTTTCCAGACATTCATTCTATTTTGTATTCAGCTTGCTTTTTCATAACTGGGAATATAATTTATGTCCATAGGAGAATGATATGTTCAAGAAAATGCTATACAGTTAGTTACTGTTATTAGTTAGAACTCTTCCCCAATATACATAATTTTTGAATACTTCAGAGGTAGGACATAAATTCTCCCTCTTTAGATTATCAGAAATGCTTCTTGCTTCTAAATGTCAAGGTCACATGTGCTACTAAAGCAAATGTTTTCTGTTGGATGCTGGATACAAAGATCTATGTACAAACAGAATTATATAAATTAATTCCAACACGACATATAAAAAGATTTTGAGGTTGTTCACTGTATTTCTGGTGTTCTCCTCAACTTCTGATAATTAAGAATTTGTGGTAATTTAAGGAACCAGCATTTCTATCACAATATTACAATTCCTACATAAAGATATTAGCAAATTTTATTGGTACTGTTATAAGGTTCTGCCAAAACAACAAAAACAAAACCTCAGTTAACAAAACTTATATCTTACACATAGTGAGTGAAGTGAAAGAAACTCAGCATTATGATCTGAAATGTAGACTAATAAAAAAGGGAAAATAAATAATATTGTTTAGTTCGCCTGATACTTGTACAAAAATGAAAATAAATGGATAAGGTGTAATTAGAAGCATAAGTAATATGCTTCTAAACGACTACTGATTAGATATACCAGTTAACACTTTCAAAATTTGCTGAAGTTTCTAAAAAATAACAGTTTAAAAGGTAACATAGAATAAGCATAAAATCAGTTAAGTCTAGAGGAAATCTAGACTTAACTGATATTACAAAGGCTTCTTCATATGACTAAAAGCCAGTTACCTCAATGCTTCCATTCTTGTTTAGAACATAAAAATAATTTGTACTCTTCACTTCATTCTGATCAGGACTGTTGGGAAGAGTGAATGAAGTTGGTAAAAAGCTCTGATTCTCTGAGAGAAAAGAACTTTAAAATAAAAGGTATAATATCCATTGGCTGCTTAAGGCAGTTCATTTGTTTTATTCCTTTTTACAAAGTTTTTTTTTTTTTTTTTTTTTTTTTTGAGACGGAGTTTCGCTCTTGTTACCCAGGCTGGAGTGCAATGGCGCGATCTCGGCTCACCGCACCCTCCGCCTCCTGGGTTCAGGCAATTCTCCTGCCTCAGCCTCCTGAGTAGCTGGGATTACAGGCATATGCCACCATGCCCAGCTGATTTTTTGTATTTTTAGTAGAGACAGGGTTTCACCATGTTGACCAGGATGGTCTCGATCTCTCGACCTCGTGATCCACCCGCCTCGGCCTCCCAAAGTGCTGGGATTACAGGCTTGAGCCACCGCGCCCGGCCCCCTTTTTACAAAGTTTAAAGGCCATGGTGTGTTTCACTCTCCCTGTTCCATAGGGAGCAAAATCCCCTAAACTCCAATTCCAATATTTCATTCAGAAAAAATGTAAGATTTATGAGAAAAAAGTGGTTCATTGATATTAAAATAATTTAACTTTTAGGTTCAGGGGTAGATGTGCAGGTTTGTTATTAGGTAAACTTGTGACTTGGGGGTTTGGTGTACAGATTATTTTGTCACTTGGGTACTAAGCATACTCCCTGACAGTGTTTTTTTTTTTCCTGAACCTCTTCCTCTTCCCACCCTCCTCCGTCAAGCAGGCCCCAGTGTCTGTTGTTCCCCCTTTTCTGTCCATGTGTTCTCATTATTTAGCTCCCACTTATGAGAACATGTGGTATTTGGTTTTCTGTTACTGTGTTAGTTTACTAAGGATGATGGCCTCCAGCTTCATCCATGTCCCTGCAAAGGATATGATCTTGTTTTTTTTTATGGAATAGTATTACATGCTGTATAGCAGATGCTGTTGTTGGTCTCTCTAGCAGTCATTATCCTTTTTTCTAACAGAATCCTAATTATATTCAGTGTTTCACCCATCCCCAGTTCACTTAGGGAAAGCTGACTAAATCCCCAGGCAGATCCAATCACAGTAATCCTTTGTTAATGTTTGATTCTAGAGCAAATCCTTTGCTAGTGCTTGATTCTGACTTCCATGTTGTTCAAAGATCAATCATATATTGAATTTAAAAAAAACATCTGAAGCCCTCACATCTGAACCCACCAATGAAGGAGGTATAAACCCTTATTAAGGTTTTTAATTTGTTCATGCTTGTGCTAAGATTAAAGTCATACGGTTTAAAATAAATATAACATAGGCTGACCATGGTGGCTCACTCCTGTAATCCCAGCACTTTGGGAGGCTGAGGTGGGTGGATTGCCTGAGGTCAGGAGTACGAGACCAGCTTGGCCAGCATGGTGAAACCCCACCTCTACTAAAAATACAAAAATTAGCCGGGCGCGGTGGCTCAAGCCTGTAATCCCAGCACTTTGGGAGGCCGAGGCGAGTGGATCACGAGGTCGAGAGATCGAGACCATCCTGGTCATCATGGTGAAACCCCGTCTCTACTAAAAATACAAAAGCTGAGGCAGGAGAATTGCTTGAACCCAGGAGGCGGAGGTTGCGGTGAGCCGAGATCGCGCCATTGCACTCCAGCCTGGGTAACAAGAGCGAAACTCCGTCTCAAAAAAAAAAAAAAATACAAAAATTAGCTGGTTGTGGTGGTGTGCGCCTGTAATCCCAGCTACTCAGGAGGCTGAGGCAGTAGAATCGCTTGAACCTGGGAGGCAGAGGTTGCAGTGAGCCAAGATCACGCCACTACACTCCAGCCTGGGTGACAGAGCTAGACTCCATCTCAAAAAAAAATAAATAAAATTGAAAATTAAAAAAATTTAAAAATTTAAAAAATGTAGTTCTGTCAATATGAAAAAGCAACATCACATTGTTTCATTATTTCAAAATTTAGGAACACAGAGATTACATACAATATGTTAGTTTTATATTGCTTAAGAATATATAGTCTTATTTCTTTCTGCAGCTACAAAGAGTTATCATTTAGTCTTAATACTTTGCTCCTCTAATCAGATTATTAAAATCTGTTGGTTTCCTTTCAACATGGCTTCTTTATAAGTAACTCATTTTTGTCTCAAGAATGAACAATTTAAATTTCAATGTGTAATAGCAGGCAGCATTCTAAAAATGTTAGAGCCTGCGGTATATTACAAAAATGGCTCCAGTTCTTTACATCTTTTCGCCTGGCCTGTCACCCAGGAAAGTGTGCACTCTCCTAGTCCTTGATGCTAGACTCAATCATGTGAATTGCTTTGGCCAATAGGATGTTAACATGTATGATGCAAGCAGAAACTTGAAATGAGTTCGTATATTAGAACTTGCTCTTTGGGACCTCTACAACTGCCATGAGAAGGACATGCCTGGACTAACTTGGACCCAGGAGAAGGATGAGATACATGTAGAGCAGAACCAACTCACAGACGCATGTGTGAATCCTGCCAAATGGCAGCTATATTGGCAAGCCTAACAGATCAGTCAAGCCCAGCTGGATCAACTGAACTCTATAAACAAATAAGAAGTATTTATTGTAAGCCACTACACTTGGGGGTGGTTTGTTACCTAGCAAAAGCTAAATACAAGACCTAACTTGGATCTCAGCTCTTTACATCTGAATCATTTAGGAGGTTTTGGTTATAACCAAAAACCCCAACTTAAATTGGCTTAAACAATAAATTTATTTCTGTCACAAAGCAGCAGTTTCAGAGATACAGCAGACACCCTTTGTGGTAAGTTCACGGAGCTAGCTCCATTTCTTTGAGATAGTTTCAGTTTTGCCCTCTGTGTTAGCCATATCTTACGCTTCCCCAAAATGATTGTGTTCAACCAGCAGCTGTGATTATATGTCATTGATGGCAGTAAGGAGACAGCACCAACCAAAGAGAAAAAAAAAATTATTCCCGTTAGTCTGATTGGGTTACCTCAGGTCACCTCCCTAACCTGGACCATGCTAATTGATTTATGCCAGGCCAAGCTCACTGCACTCTAGCCTGGGCAACAGAGCGAGACTCAGACTCAAAAAAATAAATAAAATAAAATAATAATAATAATAGGGAAAAGAAAATATATTTACTATTCATTAAGTGAGTCTTCATAATGATCTTTATCCTAGTCACCTTCATACTGAGTAGGCTGAGGAGGAAGACCGGGAAGAGAAAGGTTGGGTCTGGCTGTCTCAGGGGTGGCAGAGGCAGAAGTGGAGGAGGTGGAAAGGGAGGCAAGAGAGGCAAGCACATTTAGTGAAACTTTACAGATTTTACATAGTAATTTCTCTCTGAAAAATGTTTCTACACAGTACCAGTCCTTCCACCCTTTGCTTTAGTTTCTGTGCCTGTATAATCGAAGGGCCTGTGTCATAAAAGAAGTCAAAAGCAGTCTTGAATAATTGGAACCCTTCTCCAGATGTCTAATAGCCATTTGTTTTCTGTTCTGCTTCTGCATTTTCTTTCTCATCATCTGGCACTGGTTTGGAAGCCCCATCTCCATCAAGGCATATTCTGTTAATTCCTCTGGTGTGGTGTCTATTAGCTCTTGATTTATCCATGACCAGTATCCTGAAACCCTTTACCCTCCCACATTTTCTTTGCCATACCCTCCACATTTCTTTCATAATTTCTTTGATTGTCTCTGTCATAAATCCTGTGGAGTCGTGCACATCTGAACACAATTTTCTCCAGTGGGAATTTATTGTTTCAGGTTTGATGGCTTCACGGCTTTTTAAAAATAACAATGATGGCATCTTCAATAATGGAATCCTTCCACACTTTCATGATTTCTGTTGGGGTTCTCTTCTGTAGTGTCGACAATCCTTTCTTTGGAGTAAAGTACTGTGTGTTATCAGCCTTAAAAGTCCTCATGATCCCCTGATCTAGATGTTGTGTTTGGGGATAAGTGAACCACTGGAAAAAGCATCAATGGAACCAATCCAGAGAAACAGTTTTTGTTGTCCAGGCTTTCTTGTTGTACAACCAAAAGATTGGAAGCTGGTATTTATCTTTTCCCTTAAAGGTTAGGGGGTTAGCAGTTTTATAGATAAGGGTAGTCCTGATGATAAACCCGACCTTAATTTGCACAAAACATTACAGTTGGCCTATTTCTTCCTGCCTTAAATCCTTGTGCTTGCTTCTCTTCCTAATAAATGTTCTTTGTAGCTTTTCCCCACCCCCAGGGCAATGATCTTTAGTCTCTGGATTCATTTATCTTGAAATAGTGGGCAACTTTAGCTGCGGACATCAATTTATGATACATAACAAGTAATTAAACTTTCTCTTGTAATGTCATGACATTTCTCTGCTTCACGGGAGCATCCCCAGTATCACTAGTGGCACTTTGTATGGGTCCCATGGTGTTATTAAAGGTTCGTGATATTGCACTAGATGTGATAAAAAACACACAAGAACTATGAGAGATCATTTTTTTCCTGAGATATGCAATTTACTGGAGAGATGAACAGCTTATGTGAAGGTGAGATGAACTGCTTATGTGAAGGTGGTGAACATCACACAACACTTTAAATGGCTATAACACTAGAGTTCACTGCAATAGCAACAGGAGATGGCTACAAAATTATTACAGTAGTACAGTGTGTACTCTAGTTAATTTTATGCAGTTATGATTTAGTGTTGCATCTTTACATTTGTTTATATTTTTCTTGACTACAAATGGCGACATGTTTGTGTGCATAAGTTTTTGACAGATTTTAACTTATAATAGATTCGTATATATTTTATGATAGTAAGTGATAAAATAGATAAGTACCTGTATTTTATTCATTCATAACATACTTAACTTTTTCTTAATTTTCAGTATTTCTAGGCTACATGGTTTGGGAATTTTTTTCAGATTGTCAGAAAGGTCCCAAAATTTTTCCAATATATTTACTGAAATCCATATCTAAGTGGAACCTGTGTAGTTCAAACTCATGTTGTTCAAGCGTTGACTGTACTAATAAAGAAGTTTTGTAGGCCACTGACCACTGTCTATGAAAAAAAAAGTTCTGAGTCACTCACCTGATAATACAAAACAGATTTACATTAGCATTATATAATGAAAAATCAATAAAAATAACTCTGGTCCCTCTTGTGATCCAGTTGTTCAGTCGAAGGTCAATGAACTTGTTTTTTGTTTCAGATTTTAATTTTGATAAAGTGAAAATATATCCCCCATTTTGGTAAACACCAAGAAATCCCCAGTGCCAAGGGGAGTTGGTATTAGAAGTAGAGTACCTCCATCTGTTAGACATAAAAAGAATAATGGTGAAATGAGAAAGCCCAGCTGAGAAGTATTCTAAGAATTTAAGTTAATCTTTGTTCAAAAGTAGTAGTTTTTTGGCCTGGTGTGGTGGCTCACACCTGTAATCCCAACTCTTTGGGGGGCTGAGGCAGGCAGATCCCTTGAGCCCAGTAGTTCAAGATTAGCCTGGGCAATGTGGTAAAGCCCTATCTCTACAAAAAAATACAAAAACTAGCCAGTCATGGTGGCATGTGCCTGTAGTCCCATCTACTCAGGAGGCTGAAGTAGGAAGATTGCTTGGGCCCAGGAAATTGAGCTGCAGTGAGCTGTGATCGTACCACTGCTCTCCAGCCCAGGCAACAGAGCCAGACCCCATCTCAAAACAAACAAACAAACAAAAAAAAAACAAAAGTAGTAGTTTTTAAAAAAGCAGTAGTAAATTCATAAGTATTATGGTAATTTTAAAGCAAGACAATGTGTTAAGGATTAAGTTCGAAGGATTAATATTTAATTAAATTTAATGTATTCTTTTTAATGCTTATGGTAGGCAACACCACTGGACTAGGTGCTATGAGAAAATTTTTCAAAAATCCATAATTTTTCAATAATTATCTGGGCATGGCAACATGTGCTGGGACCACACCTGGCCAGAAGTACCTATGTTTTAGTGAAACTTCCATAGTTGTATTTTTGAGTGTTTTCCACACATGACATTTTTTTTTTTTTTTTTTTTTTGAGACAGAGTTTCGCTCTTGTTACCCAGGCTGGAGTGCAATGGCACAATCTCGGCTCACCGCAACCTCCGCCTCCTGGGTTCAGGCAATTCTCCTGCCTCAGCCTCCTGAGTAGCTGGGATTACAGGCACACGCCACCATGCCCAGCCAATTTTTTGTATTTTTAGTAGAGACGAGGTTTCACCATGTTGACCAGGATGGTCTCGATCTCCTGACCTCGTGATCCACCCGCCTCAGCCTCCCAAAGTGCTGGGATTACAGGCTTGAGCCACCGTGCCCGGCCTCCACACATGACTATTAAGTGGAATCTGTTATGCCAGCTGTCTACTAGCTTCCAAGTTTTGTTTTTAATTAGTGATTTTACATTTTAGACAAGTACAAATTGATCCTTTTTTCATTGTTGAAGATTAACAGATATTAACTTACAACTTCAGTAAAGTATAGAGATAGTAAAATAAACCCAATTGATAGTGTTAATTTTGGTATTTAATAAAGTATTTGTACTTATTATGAGAATCTGGAATATAAAAATAACTAAAAGATTAGATTCCAATTTAAAATATGTAAATAATTACTTTATCTTGTAATTTTGGGTTGAAAGAAAGTGAATAGTACTATAATAGTTAAGAGAATGGGCTGGGTGCTGTGGTGTACACCTATAATTCCAGCACTTTGGGAGGCTAGGGCGGGTGAATTGCTTGAGCCAGGAGTTCCAGACCAGCCTGGGCAGCATGGTGATATCCCATCTCTATAGGAAATACAAAATTATCTGGGTGTGGTGGCATGTGCTTGTAGTCCCAGCTACTTGGGAGGCTGAGGTGGAAGGATTACTTGAACCCCGGAAGTCAAGGTGGCAGAGAGCTATGGTCTTCATTGCACTCCAGCTTGGGTGACAGAGCAAGACCCTGTCCCCCACACCCAAAAAAAAGAGGTATCATCATACTTATGAATTTATTAGATTTATAAGAATCATACAAGTCCTTAAGAACACTCAAAACTCCTACAAATAAGAAACAAACAGAAAAACCCGGCAATGATTAATCCTGGGAGTTCAAGAGAGGTTTTTAAGAAAGGAAATATAATCATGTTGCTTTCTTAAACTCTTAAAAAAAAAGGAAATATAATCAGATCACTCATATTTATAACATAAACATTGACTAATGATTGACAATAATTATGATGTAACTATACTGAGAGGCTAAGAGGAACAGAAATAATGTGTGCAGAGGGGGTAGCAATAAGAGAGCTATATGACAGATCACCTTCCATGATAGAAAAACAATAGAGGCCAGGTGCAGTGGCTCATGCCTGTAATCCCAGCTCTTCGGGAGAGCAAGGCAGGAGGATTACTTCAGGCCAGAAATTCGAGATCAGCCTGGGTAACACAGAAAGACCCTGTTTTTACAAAAAGTGGAAAAAAAAAAAAAACAAACTAGTCAGGAATGTTGCTATATGCCTGTAGTCCTAGCTGCTACTCAGCAGGCTGAGGCAAGAGGATTGCCTGAATCAGGAGTTTGAGGCTGCAGTGAACTATGATTACACCACTGCATTCCAGCCTGAGCAAGAGAGTAAGATTCTGCCCCTGAAGAAAAAGAAAAAAACAAAAACAAAACATAACTGTAAGATCAAGTATAAGGTAGCAGTATAAGGATGTTATTTAAAAAGAAAAAGTATATACTAGAAGAAACAACTGTAAAAGAGCTAAAAGTAATTGCTTCTGGAGAGTGGAAATTATGAGTAGAAAAGGGTAGACCTTCATAAATATTTGCATCACTTTAATAAATACTAAATTCCAAAAAGGTTTATTCTCTTCCATATTTTATATATATAATTATAATATAGATATAATTATATATTATATATAATTATATATATAATATGGAAGAGAATAAAAAATCATTTATATAATTATATAATTATAATTATATATTATATATTATAATTATATATGTAATAATTATATGGAAGAGAATAAAAAATTATATATTATATATTATATATTATATATAATTATATATGTATAATATATAATCATAAAAATATATAAAAATATAAAATAGAAATATAAAATATAAAAATATATATATATATATTTTTAGACTGAATCTTATACTGTTGTCCAGGCTGGAGCACATTGGCATGATCTCAGTTCATCACAACCTTTACCTTCTGGATTCAAGTGATTCTTGTGCCTCAGTCTCCTGAGTAGCTGGGACTACAGGCGCCTACCACCATGTTTTGTTTTTAGTAGAGATAGAGTTTCGCCATGTTGGCCAGGCTGATCCCAAATTCCTGACCTCAAATGATCTGCCTTCCTCAGCCTCCCAAACTGCTGGGATTACAAGCATGAACCAATGATTTTCATACAGCTCTAAAAGCACAAAGTGAGTAGCACTGATTCCACCAGCTTCTGTGTCAAGGAGAGGTAGTGCCAGTGGCATTGGGTTTACACATTTTCTTTCTTTCTTTCTTTTTTTGGGACAAGGTCTCCCTCTGTGATCAAAGCTTGCTGCAGCCTCAACCTCCTGTGCTTAAGTGATCCTCCTGGCTCAGATTCCTGGGTAGCTAGGACTACAGGTTAGTGCCATCACACCTGGCTAATTTTTAAATTTTTTTGTAGAGACTGGGTCACAGTATGTTGCCTAGGCTACTCTTGAATTCCTGGCCTCAAGTAATCCCTTCTCGGCTTCCTAAAATGGTGGGATTACAGGTGTGAGCCACCACGCCCAGTCTCACATTTTCAATATAAAATGTACACGAGTCTACACCAGCACTAGCTTCAGTCACTTTGAAACACAGTGGCCAGGCTGGGTGCGGTGGCTCATGCCGGTAATTCCAGCACAAGGTCAGGAGTTCGAGACCAGCCTGGCTAACATGGTGAAACCCCGTCTCCACGAAAAATACAAAAATTAGCCGGGTGTGGTGGTATGCACCTGTAATCCCAGCTACTCAAGAGGCTGAGGCAGGAGAATTGCTTGAACCTGGGAGGCAGAGGTTGTGGTGAGCTGAGATTGTGCCACTGCATTCCTGCCTGGGTGACATAGTGAGACTCCTTCTCAACAAAACAAAACAAAACAAAACACCCCATAATGGCCATAAGCATCTTTGGCAAGCATCATCAGATGCAGTCCCTGTACAGCATAACTGCCCCATTTTAGTAGGGACAGTAAAGAAAAAATCACTGAAGGAAGGCAGAGTGAGAGAGGAGAGAAGTGACAGAGCACATCTAAGACACCCACTAAGGATCCTGAATTGTCCTGGGGATGTGTTGTGGGCATCTTGCCACAGCCAGAAAAGCAGATTAATTGACCATTTTAGAAGCAAAAATTGATGCTTTGCCCTGTGTCGAATATGACTAAGCACTTCATATACCAAAGTCAGAAAAAAGAAGACACTTTGCATCCTAAAATAAACAAAAATAATAGGTTCACCTTTCCTTTTCTAAACACTATTATCTCCAAATCTTCCTTCTTTTTTTTTTTTACTACTGTTGAAACAATCTCCTTATCCTTCCCGGCCCCATCTGGCGTTACTTGGAAAACACATATCTAAAAGATACAATGGTAAATGCTAGAAAAAATTACAGTATAATTTTATGCTACTTACTCACTATTACTTGTAAGGCCAAAGTTAGAGAGGTCTTCATTTGCAGAAGTGTATTTGCCATAACATTCGCTTATCAAAGACTGAAAAGATGAATAGACTTTGCATGTGTTGTTGCGGACTTTTAGTTGACGAACTCTGGGGACTCCTAGAAGTATGTTCTCATAGTAGATGCGACTGCTGTTCTTCAAATCATACAGCTGATGGCTGTTGTACCATGAATCCCAGTACAGACCTTCCAAAAGGGGTCCTTCCATAAACTTCATATAGAAAAATAAATGTCATGGAAAAAATATCTTCATGTCAATAGAATCTACATTCATAACATTATGCATAAGAGATTTTGAGTATGAAAATTAAACTGTTGACCAAGCCATCATTAATGGTAATGCTAATGAAGCTACTTCGGATGGTTAACACTCATTAAGCATGTACTGTGTACTAGGCCTTGCTCTAAGCACTTGACGAGCATTAACTCATTGAATCCCATAGCCCTTCTTCTCTCCTTATATGAGTAAATTGAAAATTTTCTTCCAATACATGAGTATCAGAGCTGGTCATAGCCATACATCATGACTTCACCCCAAAGATGTCTGTACATCTCCTCCCAACTCTCCTCCTCAACTCTGGCCATGGTGCCTCCAACTCCAGGCTCTGCCCCTTGCTGCTCGTTCTGAGATCCCAAGCCCAGGGTTCATTTATTTCCTCCTTTTGTCTTCTCTGCCACTAGCCACATACATGCTTCAGATAACACAGTAACAAAGTGGCAGGGTGACCTCTACTTCTTTTTTTATTCTTTCCTATTTCACCTAACCAGCTAGGATTATTTAGCCATCTCACACTTGCCCTCTCACTTTCAAGAAATGACCCTGTCTCCTTGATAAGTTTCAAAATCCGGTACAGCATTCATGATATGATCTTTGTCCAATTCATAATTTGGCCTTTTCCACCTCATCTTCCACATGCCCACAATACCAAACATAGCTCCACATGCAGAATTACTTATAGAACATATTGTTCCTTTGTCCTAAAATATCCATCCCTGATTCATCCTTCAAAATGCAACTAAATTGTCATCACCATTGGAAGCCTTCTCTAACTGCCTTGTTCTTATATGCCCCAATGTGCATATGCCAGGTTTTGTGTCCTGGGACAGCTGAAACTGCTGTCCCCTTAACTGTTCTTTCCTCATAATGTGAGCATGTTGTTACGTTAAATGTAATGGAAAAAGCAAGTCTATTCCAATGCTGAAGGAATGATTCCCTTACGTAAGTAAAAACACCATGATATTCTTATATGTACTTTTTGTTATATACTGAATATTACTGAAACACAAATACACAGTAAAAGGTTGTATGCCAAAACCACATGTATTACACTGTCTGGGCAATTAAAGAACTTTTTAAGAGTATATTTCACTATACAAAATTATAGACTGACTAGATCTTAACCCTCACATAAGATGCAAGTCTTCTATTTAACAAATGAAATGAGAATGTTTAAAAAAAAATCAATTTTTTTTTTGACGGAGTCTTGCTCTGTTGCCCAGGCTGGAGTGCAATGGTGGAATCTTGGCTCACTGCAATCTCCGCCTCCTGGGTACAAGTGATTCTCCTGCCTCAGCCTCCACAGTAGCTGGGATTACAGGTGCCCACCACTACACCCGGCTAATTTTTATATTTTTTAGTAGAGACAGGGTTTTACCATGTTGGTCAGGCTGGTCTCGACCCTCCTGATCTCAGGTGATCCATCCGCCTCAGCCTCCCAAACCAAAGTGCTGGGATTTCAGGTGTGAGCCACCATGCCTAGCCCAAAAAATCAATTTTTAAAAAATTACAAGAATAGTATCACAATGAGAACATAGGCTCTCAATAAACACTTACTTGTTGGTTGTTTCTAATGGTTTAAAGAAATGATATTTATTTTTACTTGTTTCTTCAAAAGATATTCATTGGGTACTCACTATGTATGCCAAGAGTTCATGGACTACCTAAATCTACTTCATCCACAGTCACATGATACTTTACCTTCCAAAAATCAGTTATGCTGCGAATAGACTTAAAGTTGGTTCTTTCTTCACCAGGCACAGAAGTGTCCAAAAATAGAGATGACATAACTTTGTTTAAGTAATACGTATGTGGGTTTACCATCCCAAAAGTCACTAAGGAGAAGAATTTTTTGTTTAAAAAAATTGTTTAATAATTTACATTTAAAAACTTATCAGGATTAAAAATGTTCTATTTTGTTCTCAATTTTGTTTTGAAAATTAAACTTTATTATATATTCTTCAGATTTTTCTTTATGCATACACATTTATAAAGAAAATAAATTTATTTTTATAAAAATGAGGAGACATTATACACACTATTCTGCAAGTTGGCTTTTTCTCTACATGAGAGTAAGGCAGTATAGTACGGTGAATGGTTAAGGTTATAAAGACTTTAAATTCAGACAGATAAGGGTTTGAGTCCCATTACAGGGATAGTATCTCTTACCTCCTAGTTTTGTTGTGAGAAGTGAGATGATGCACATAGAACATTTAAAACTGTTTTGGCACATGAGTTTTTAAAAAATATTAACTAGTGGCTGGGTGTGGTGTCACACCTGTAATCTCAGCACTTTGAGAGGCTGAGGTGGATCACTTGAGGTCGGGAGTTCAAGACCAGCCTGACCAACATGGTGAAACCCCATCTCTACTAAAAATTTACAGAATTAGTCGGGTGTGGTGGCACAGGCCTGTAATCCCAGCTACCTGGGAGGCTGAGGCAGGAGAATCACTTGAACCCGGGAGGTGGAGGTTGCGGTGAGCTGAGATCATGCCAATGCACTCCAGCCTGGGTGACAGAGTGAGACTCTATCTCAAAAAAAAAAAAGAAAAAAAAATCATATTATAAATGGAGATTCAGGTTGCTTTCTTTATTATATATAAACAAGTGTTCTTTAAAAACCTCTGAATAACAAGATGATATGTAATCTTTTAATTTTTAACATTTTCAAATGTTCTGTAGTAAGCATGTAGTTTTCATAACTAAGCTTTTATAAAGCAGTCTAAGATATCTTAATTTATAAAGTTGGCTACAGTTCTTTTTTCTTTTTCTTTTTTTTTTCTTGAGACAGGGTGTCAGCCTGTCCTGTCACCCAGGCTGGAGTGCAGTCACTGCAGTAAAAGCTCACTGCAGCCTGGACCTCCTGTGCTCAAGCAGTCCTCCACCTCAGCCTCCTGGGTAGCTAGGACTACAGGTGTGTGCCACCATACCCGGCTAATTTTATAGTTGTCTTTTTAATCAAGATGGAACTCGAACTTACCCCTACACCACCAATTAATTACTTAATTGCTATACAATTTCCAGTGTGTAGCAAATAGCAACATGAGATAAATTCGTGCTTTCATCAACTGTATATTGGGTGGCCATAAAGACAAACGCTCTTTAATACTCCTCTTCACATATTAAGCCAATGCTATTGACCCACAGATAGGTGGAATGCAGGTTGAGATGTTTTCCCAGTCCTTCCTAATGATTTGCATTGACTCAGCACAAACATATATATTTTTTTAACTGCATTAGGTCAGTGAAAAGAACTAAGCTAATGGCAGACACCAAGATGAACTTTGGCCTCATTTGTACATTGATTTATAAAACTCAGTTGATGTGTCTATATGACTCTCAACAAAATAAACTTGCAGTTGCCAGCCCAAGGGATGAATTATGTTCTGGATAGAATTGCCAAATGAAAGGAATAATTATATTCAATCAATATTGACTATGGAAGCTTCTTATATATGCGATGTAAAATTTTGCCCCTTAAGAACTGGAAATAGTCAATTTCTAAATGAAATGAATCTAAATGAATTTAAGATTATGTGTAAACTGTGTCACTATATTTTGAGTTTTAGTAGCCTCACAGCTTAAGGTTTTGAAGTCTTTATGTTTTATTTTTCATCTCCACATTTTAACTTCTTAGTTCAAACAGCATCTTTATTTATATCCGTGTACTTACATATACATAGGTTTATTAAAAAAATAAAGTAGAGTAACAACTCCTGAAGTGTGGTTCTAATTTCTACATCCTTTCTGTAATGCAGCTTATGTTTCGAAGTCCCTGTGAGATATAAGACAAAATTTTTCCTTACATTATTATGTAATTTGTAATGTTTTTAAGTGACAATAATGGAAAAACCACAACCACTTTTAGTCATTACATTGAGAGGAGGAAAGCTCCAATAGCTTCTAGCTATTTTTCAATTCTTAGTTTTACGAGGCAGGGATAATTACTAAATTTTCCCATCAGGGTAAGCGGGTCGTCATTTTTTGACTATATACTATTAATAACAGATTTTATATCATGATGTCTTCTCACCAGTCCTGTCTTAAGATGAAAAAGCAAATTACAAAACAAGCAAAACCCCTCATCTGTCCTAACCGTTTTCTCCACCCTCAATACTGCTCCTTGGGAAGGCTGGAGGGGGAAAGAGCGCCCCGGCTTGAATTCTGTCAAGGTCACGATTCCCCAGATCAACAAAGGACTTTAGAGACCGGCCTAGCGACGGCCACTAGACAGCAGGTGGCAACGCCCATCTCGAGCCTCCGGCAAGAGGGGAGTGCCACGGCGCCCAGGGATTCAGTTTTCCCGTCGGTGCAATGGGACCATCTGTCCCTCTCCGTTTCTCCAGGGGAGGCTGTGAGGGCTAAAGGTGTCGCCGGTCACATCTCTCACATGAATTTGGGGCCGCAGAGTTCCTTCCAGGGTGTCTGGAATTGCCATACCGCCCCTGTCCCTCCCACTCCTTAGGAGCATCCCTCACCGCCTCGGTGCCAACGCGACGCCTCAGCCATGGAGGACCCAGACAGCACCGCCGGTTCGTCCGCCCGACGCCGCGGCGCCTGCGCGCTAGTCTTCCGGAGCGCGCTGCTCGGCTCTGACGCCTGCGCGAGGCCCCAGCTCCTCCTGGGCTGCGAGCGACTCGACGAGTCGCCACCGCGGCTGCGCGGCAGGGTCTGGTGTGGAGGGCCAGCTTCTGGAAATAACCTGGCTGTGGGCCTAAAAATCGCAGTCACTCATTATCACGGGCTTCTCTTTCTCGAATGTCTTTAACATTTATCGCCTTGTTTAGTCTCCGCGTCCACCTCCGTGAAAGGTAGGTATTTTTGTCCTCATTTTAGGCCTGCAGAAACCGAGACGCTGAGAAATGAAATAATTCACTGAAAGTTGGGGCCAAGTCTGTTGGATGCCCAAGCCTGAATGCCTAACCGTGACCCCACACTGCTGCTGCTGCTACTTACAGAAACTGGTTATTAACCGAGAGGTGTTGCAGGAAGTAGCTTCCACTCCCCTGCCCCACCCGATGTTAAAATAGATGAAAAACCCTGCAGTGATTATGTGAAAGGGCAGGCGAAAACGAGTCCTTGGGAGGCTAGACCCACATCTGACCCAGAAGCTTTGCAAAGATGAGAAGGTTGGTAAACCAGCTATAGAAAAGGCCAAACTAATTAGGCTGTAAATTAAGGCAGCCAAAAGCCCTCTAGCATGTAAGACAGGACGGATTCTTGTGTTGATAAAAAGGAAAATAAAATGGAATCCAGTCCAAAGGCTCCAGGAAAACCTGCAAAGAAAACCACTACATAGTTTTAAAGTAAAAGATAAAGCCACTTTTGTTATTTCCCTGAAAGAGATGTAGACTGATGTCGATAAATGCTGTTTTATGTGTAGATAAAAAGCAAAACTAGGCCACACAGTAGTGAGGGTCAAAAACTACCATTGATAAGAGGAACAGGAGAGGCCTCGCAAAAGGCTGACAGCCAGTGAACTAGAAGAAACTAGAGGCCTGAGGAAAAAAAAGAGCCTTAGAATAGTTTTAACAAAAGGATTTGGGCTTTCCCGTACTGGGAGTCTCAGCTGCTCACAAAATTATGCTTTCTAATGTAACAGGTTATCTGAAATTGAAATTATTGGAGGAAAAACACCCATATATAGGCATTACATGATAATAATTTTATTTTATTTTTAAGACAGGGTTTCACCGTGTTGGCCAGGCTGGTCTTGAACTCCTGACCTCAGGTGATCCCGCCCGCCTCGGCCTCCCAAAGTGCTGAGGGCCTCCCAAAGTGCTGAGGGTACAGACGTGAGCCACCGCCACCGGCCGATAATAATTTTAAAAGATGCAGTCTCGCTATGTTTCCCAGTCTGGCCTCAAATTAAGGAATCCCCAGCTCAACCTCTCCGAGCAGCTGGGACTACAGGACTGTCAAGTTTACATTAACTATGAGAATTAAGCAGGCAACCTCTGGAGACCATTCTTACTCCTTTATATTGTTCCAATTTTAGTATATGTGTTGCTGAGGCAAGCATGAGACTATTCTTATTCCTTTGAGCATAACAGACCAAAAAATCCTGAAGAATTAGAGACCTATTTGGTTAAAACAAAATCATAATTCAGTAGATGCAGTCATAATTTATTGTGGTTGCCTTTGAAGTGCAAACCATGGAAAGTCTAGCTCAGTTTCTAGAGGAATTGGCTGAGCTGTAAGTGAGCTTCACACTGTTCTAGAATATAATATTGCTCTTTTGGAACTTGTTATTCATAGGTTTTGCTGAGTGGAGTTTTATTTTACAGATCTAGTCTTTTGTGAAGAGGAGACAGTCTGTTTTAAATAATTGAATTTTATTCTCTTTTGACATAAAACTGTGGAACACTCAGATAATCTATACCGTGTTAGTATTCCTACAAGAGAAAACAGGTAAAACAGTGTTTAGAAAGCAGTACCAGGAAACCTTATTACAAGTATTAGATGTGTTTAAAAATTGATATTAATTTATGAACTGTAATTGTTAAATGTGTATGACTTAAATGTTAAAATCCTGCATTTTAAGATCATCTTCTACAGTTAAAAATCCATATACCCAGATTTTCTGTAGGCTTCACAAATCAGAAGAGTAGATAGAATGTGCAAGAGTCAAAGGATAAATAATATTATAAATATATATTAACTATATTACCTAATTAAAACCATAATCTGTTAATACAGCTATGGATTAATTTCAAAAAATGTAATCAAATATATTACTAATGGTATATAGTTGGCTGTTTTCCAGTGTTGGTAAAGTTACTAAAGTTCTTCGCTTTCATAGAGTCCAGATTGAGCTGCCAAACGCTGAAACTCTCCTTCTGGGTTAAAAGCTTGTTTCACATCCAAACCTTTCCCGTTAAGTGCTAAATATTTGCTGAAGGTTGGTCGAACCCGTAACTGCTTAGGAGCTGGAAGAGTTTGGTTTGGACGTGCTGAAATAGATCATATAAAAGTTGATTCAGAAAACCTGTTCTAACCAAATTTGCCATACTAGGTATTTATTATCAGACAGGAAAAGAAAAAAGAACCAAAAACTGATTATATATGGGGAAAATCTCTCAAATTTTATACTCTGCTGGGATTTGCATTTCTTATTAAATCTTCCTAGTTAAAATGCCTTGTAATACTTTGGTTAATAGTATGACATACCTGTAACGTCTAATCTTGTGTTACATGTGGTCACTCCAGCTTCATTAACTGCTGACACAGTATACCACCCAGCATCTTTCTTGTTTACATCTTTTATCAGTAAAGTAACTCTTCCAGTGTTATCTTGATATAAGCTGAAAAAAATTTTTTAAGAAATGAAAGTATAGGAATTATTTATGTGAAGTGGATGTCTCTGACCTACAGTCAGACTAAGAAGAAAAAGAAGCATTTGAAAATTCCGAAGCTGTATCTATTTATTGCCAAATAGCTATTAGTCTTCTTGAATTAAAGATTCCCACTTGGGTGCTGTCTCCCTCTGCCCTTCAATCTATCCCCTGATCTGATGGTCCCTGTCATTCACTCTGTTGTTTCTGTGTTTGTATTTATGTGTATGTATAGGGGAAAGGAGGGGTCCTGACCTGTTCCCTTATCTGTCTTCTACTTCCTCCTTTGTTAATAAAGGCTGAAGCTCTTTGTAAAGAAAAAAAAAAAAAAAAAAGAGACAACATCCTCCACTTAATCTGGTTTATGTCATTTGTGTCCTTGAGCCATCTTTCATCATCCTTGATAAAAGATAAATCCTAGTTTACTTTATGGCTTACATTTCCGATTAGTGGAATCTGGCTTTTTGAAGTTTTTTTTTAATATTTATCATCTAATATATATTTTATTTTTCTTTAATGTTTTGAAAACTAGACAAATTGAGATAAATACATGCCATTTATAATGCATGTTAAAAAGTATAGCTGGAAATAAACTATAGTAAGTAAATAAACTATAGTAAGTCTAGAAATGCATATCCTACCTTATTCGGTCAGTGTTGAATTGTACCATTTCATTATTTCTTTTCCAGAAAAGCTTTGGTGGAGGTATAGCAGAGATCTGGCATTCTAGTTTCACTGAGTCTCCCTCTAAAACTTTTTTGCTCTGTGGTTTGTAGATAAACATTGGTGCTCTTTTATGTTCTTTTGCTATATATTAATACAAAAATTCAAGTATTTAAAATATTATAAAAAGGCATTAAATCAAACCAAGACATGATGAAATTTGTATGTTAATATTAAAATGTTAAAAAACAACAGCAACAGAATTAGAAATTTTTAGTTAAAAAGATATGCAATACTATTTTATTATACCATTCAGAATTCTAAACTGTAATGTAATGATTCATTGAATTGATAATCAGATAATTATATTTCATTCAAATTTAAGTCACATTCTTTTTTTCTTGAGGTGGAGTCTTGCTTTTCAGGAGTGCAGTGGTGCGATCTTGACTTACTGCAACCTCCACCTCCTGGGTTCAAGGAGTTCTCCTGCCTCAGCCTCCTGAGTAGCTGAGATTACAGACGTGCACCACACCCAGCAAATTTCTGTATTTTTTTTAGTGGACACAGGTTTTTGCTGTGTTGGCCAGGCTGATCTCTTAACTCCTGGCCTCAAGTGATCTGCCCACCTCAGCCTTCCAAAGTGCTGGGATTACAGGCATGAGCCACTGCGCCTGGACCAAATTTAAGTTATGCTCTTTATCATCTCATCTGTAGGGAGGCAGCATGAGTGATGGAAAGAGTATCAGATAACTTGGGTTCAGATTACCTTTTGGCTCCACAAGCCATGCCAAATTGGTAAAATTTTATTTAGTTTCTCGAATCCTCAGTTTTATCTATAGTTAAAAAAAAAAAAATCCAGGTAGTAGTGACTGTTGTGCCTACCACATAAAATAATTGTAAGGAACAAATGAGATAATAAACAAAGAGATGCTTTGTAAGCTGTGAAGGAATATGGGAATGTCAGTAATTATTATGACCTTATTTTCAACTACCTGAGGGGAAAGAGGAAATGATAGTTCAGTACCATAACCCTGGTTTTTCTGAAGGAGAAATGAAATTGAACAAATGACAGCCAAGAACTCTTTCAGTTCTACTATTATAGTATTTCAGAAGCCATTGTACAAATAGAATTTGCCTAAGCTTTAATCAGTTAAATTGTATGTGTTTTTGAAAATTTCCAGCTCACCAGTTTTTCCCTGAGATTGAGGCCCTTTGGTATATTATGGAATTGTCTTAAAGATTTTGTATTGATCTGGGCAGAATATAAACTCAAGAAAATAGCTTATCCTTTAATCCAATCAAACTTATATAATAAACAATGAATTATAGCAAAATGTCTCTAATGCAATATACAATGTCTTAAAGTATTAAAAATATGGTATGGGTTGAGTATCCATTATCTGAGATGCTTGGGACTAGAAGTGTTTTAATTTCTGATTTTTTTTTTTTTTTTTTTTTTTTGAGACGGAGTTTCGCTCTTGTTACCCAGGCTGGAGTGCAATGGCGCGATCTCGGCTCACCGCAACCTCCGCCTCCTGGGTTCAGGCAATTCTCCTACCTCAGCCTCCTGAGTAGCTGGGATTACAGGCACGCGCCACCATGCCCAGCTAATTTTTTGTATTTTAGTAGAGACGGAGTTTCACCATGTTGACCTGGATGGTCTCGATCTCTTGACCTCATGATCCACCCGCCTCGGCCTCCCAATGTGCTGGGATTACAGGCTTGAGCCACCGCACCCGGCTAATTTCTGATTTTTTAAAAAATTTTAGAATATTAGCTTTATACTTGTTGAACGTCTTTAATCTGAAAATCCAGAATGCGCTAATGAACATTTCCTGTGTGTGTCGTGTCAATTTTGGAACATCTTGGATTTCAGTTTTTGGATTAGGGATACTCAACCTGTATATTTAAAGCACTTAAAGTGTAAAATTTCAAAACCAGACACCAGTTCTATAAGAGCTGCCCTATTTAAGACAGATTTGAGACATAAATTTAGTCATACCTGTTTTCTAAAGCAAGTGGGCCTGTTTTGGTTATAATTAGACACTAGTTTCCTAGTAAAGAGGACATAGTCTAAGGCTAAAAGCTGATGTTTACTCTTTTTTTTTAAGAAATTTTTTTAAACAAGGTCTCACTCTGTCACGCAGGCCTGAGTGCAGTGGTACAATCAGAGCTCACTGTAACCTCAAACTCCAGGCTCAAGCTATCCTCCTGCCGTAGCCTCTCTGGTAGCTGGGACTATAGGTGTACACCACTATGCCCAGCTAATTTTTTTATTTTCTGTAGAGACAAAGAAGGTCTTGCTATTTATTACCCTGGCTGGTCTCAAAACTCCTTGGCTCAAGTGATCCTCCCACCCTGGCGCCTCTTAAAGTGTTAGGATTACAGGCCTGAGTCACTATACCCAGCCTACTCTTCACTTTTAAACTATGTACTTAATATTATGACAAATTATGATAATTCTGTAATATTATGAGTCAGATTGGTTATTTTTATTATCCTCATTTTGGAGAAATGAAGATTAGAGAAATGATTAGACTAAGATTTTCATTTTGAGACTCTACAGTTACAAAGCTTTGGTGGTAGATCTGTCATTCTAGTTTCACTGACTTTCTTTTATACATATATAATAGATATATATGTGTGTGTGTATATATATGTGTGTGTATATACATATATGTGTGTTTATGTATGTGTGTGCGTATGTGTATATATATATAAAATACATATATTCTGTGGTTTGTAGATAAAAATGAGCATTCTAATAGGTTATGTAGACATTAACCTTAAATATGAAGTCTGCTGGGCTTTTCTTTTAAAATACATTCTTTTTTAAATACTTCTGGATTTTAAGGCGTTCTCAAGGGTCTGCTTACCAAGGACATCCAGCTGCACAGTAAAGGTGGCTTCTCCTGCTCTATTCTTGGCAACACATACATAGTCTCCTGCATCTGAAGCTCTGACTACTTCAAAGATGAGTGAATGAAGACCCTTCTCAGACACTATCATTTTGTGCAAATCATCTGATTGAACTGGTCTTCCATTTAGATACCATGACACATCAGGAGCTGGCAGTCCACTCACCTAGAAAGAAAAATACAAGGAGATGGCAGAATTTTAAAGTATAACATCACTGTAACCTATTCTTCCATTATGAATTTAAACAATCCCTGGGTTTGTGATTGAAATGCAAAGCAGGAGCTCAAAAAGGTATTTATAATTTTTTTAAACAAAACATTGGAAACTAAGATCCCTGTAGACTATCTCAAACCATAACTCTTTCACATGCAACCTCAGTCTCTTTACAAACTCTTATTTACTATGTTTAGAACATTAATTTATGTTATGTTGGTTTCCGTCAGGAATATGGAAGTCTTATGGCTTTTCTGGCTAAATGTGACCGCAAATGAAGTTCCAGAGGCATATATATGTGAAGCTTGCTGATCTAATGAGTAACTTTCCTAAAACAGAGTGTTCTTGAGCTGTATTTTGGCATATAAATGGCAATTCGTTGACTGTTTTTACATAAACGTTTAACAATGAAATCCAAAGCTTTGACACTATATATAGTTCATAAGGAATCTGGAAAAAATTTTATAAGGAAAAATTCTCCAAAATGAGAACAATAAAAATATAGCCTCTTCTAAAGACCTATTCTAGTCTGAGGGACTCTTTTAGGCCAAGAGAAAGCAAGGTGGCTTGAATTTCTTGATAGAGGAGAATTGGAGAGACGTAATACTTTAAGGCTGGGCACAGTGGCTCATGCCTGTAATCCCAACACTTTGGGAAGCCAAGGCGAGTGGATTGCCTTGAGCCCAGGAATTCTAGACCAGCTGGGTGTGGTGGTGTGCACCTGTAGTTTCAGCTACTAGGGAGGCTAAGGTGGAAGGATGGCTTTAGCCTGGGAGATGGAGGTTGCAGTGAACTGAGATGGTGCCATTGCACTCCAGCCTGGGTGACAGAGCAAGACCCTGTCTCGAAAAATAAATAAATAAATAAAAGGCATTATACTTTAGAAATTCTATTGTTCTGATAGCTTCACTTACAAAGGTATTTATTATTATACCTATTTACTTGGTTAATCCTCATAACTTTTTGGTGTATTTGTTATCCCACTTTACAGATTAGACGAAAGCACAGAGAGGTTAAATGACTTGTGTTAGGTTGCTTAGCTGGAAGGTGGCAGAGCCAGAATTCAAACCCACATCACTTTGACTTCAGAATTTGTGTTCTTGTCCATTGTACGTACTGCTTTGCAAACTATAAAGTAGGAAATGGACATTTTCAAAACTTAGTACCCTATTGTTAATTTCCCTCCATTACTTTTGAACTCTTCTCTTACTTTGAAGTCCATTCTGCAGAATCTTCCTTCATCAATCGACATGTTCTCTGGTACTTGAATGAAACGTGGTGGGTAAAACTTCTCCTGGATTGCATCTTGATCATTCACAGTTCCCCTTGAGGATGATCTACTTCTACAAAAATATTTTGGTAACAACTATGCATAAACATTGTCATTGCTTTTCACTTTGCACAAATATAGTTCAGCCATCGATTTTTTTTTTTTTTTTTTTTTGAGACAGAGTTTCGTTCTCGTCTTTCAGGCTGGAGTGCAGTGGCCCAATCTTGGCTCACTGCAACCTCTGCCTCCTGGGTTGCATTTTCCTGCCTCAGCCTCCTTGAATAGCTGGGATTATAGGCATGCGCCACTGCTCCCAGCTAATTTTGTATTTTTAGTAGAGACAGGGTTTTACCTTGTTGGTCAGGCTGGTCTTGAACTCCTGACTAGATTATAGGCGTGAACCACTGCGCCTGGCCTAGCCATCAAATTTGAAACCACAGAATCTACTGTTTGATCTGATGGTATAATAACAATAGAGAGAGGCCTTAGGGCTGTATTTATTTGCTGTGGCATATTTGATGACTATTAGAAATAATAGCAATTTAGAAACATCTGGTACAAATTGTACATCTTAGTTTCTCTTTTACAGTGCCATGAATTGATGAAAAAATGGGGCTCTTAAAATGCCCAGTACTCAGTAGATTATTCTTGTCACCAGCAATTGTATAATTAGAATTGGGTCTCCATTATCATGAGAAAATTGTTTAATATGGAAGTATGGTCCTGGCTTATTTGACCAAAACAGTAAAAAAATTACCCTGTGATAGTTTTGATAATTAACATCAAAATTTTGATCGTCTTCTCCGACGTTAGAAAATACACATTGTATTTTTTAAAAGATATAGAGTAGGCTTGAGGGCTTTGTAAGTATTACATTTTTAAGCTGAAAATATTTTAGGTAGGAAAACATACATTTCTTTAAAATTAAAAAATTTTTACCTTACTTGTGATGTAGGAACTTGCAGTCGTGCATGTTCTGAGTTGTGTTGCTGAAATTAAAACATAATAAGAATGTTTACATGCAATTGTTAGCTTGAATAAAGCAGAATTAAGTAGTAATAGTTGAAAGGAACATTTCTATTTTGGCTGTACTTGTACAGCCCTGGCAAGTTCTATATATTTAGCTTTTAAGCACTTAAAATACAGGGTACTAACATACTACCACTCTAGCAAGAAAGCCCCAGAATTAATAGGACTATTAAACAAGTATGATTTATGTAAATTAGCTAGACTTGGAATTGATGGTGGTTCATTTTTCAGATGACATTTTATGACAAAGGATGATGTTTCTCCCTTGTGCATTTGAAATGGTAGTGCATAGTACAGATTGTCCTTTACTAAAACAGGAATAGACATGAAGTCACTTGTATTGGCAGTAGATACAGGGTACAATGCCTTCTTCTTTAAAGTGGCACCAACAGCAGTAAACACATACTGGACTGGAAAATTCTTCTCTTGTTAGCTTGTGGCACAAAATCCTGATGGATTCCGTGAAAGATGTGTAGAGCTATGAAAAAGCTTTGTAAAATAGCATTAATTCCTGTTTAATGAAGTTATATTTAAGCAAACATCTTTTAGGATTTATATCTGAGCACTAGAAAATTATTTCTATTTGAGAATAAAATCAGGGATTCGTGAAAATTATAAGAGGACTAATTGATTAAATAGTATATATTTTGTGTGTTTTGTTGTGCTTAACACAGTGGGAGATACAAAATATAAAATACAGTCCCTACCCAAAGCTGTGTAGGAACACACAAAATCTGAGTACAAATAATTTGTTTTGGGATGAATTATTTAGCTAATGTATTTTATCATTTTTAAGGCAAAAGTCTTACAAATCTAACAATTTTTGGCTAGCTTTAAGGTTCTCTAAGTAAAATATCAAAACAACCGGTCAATTCAGTGATCAAACAAATCAACTAATTTTTTGGTAAAGTAAAAGTAATCCAATTAAAAATATCCAGGCCAAGCATGGTGGCTCATGCCTGTAATCCCAGCACTTTGGGAAGCTGAGGCAAGTGGATCACCTGAGGTCAGGAGTTTGAGACCAGCCTGGCCAACATGGTGAAACCCTGTCACTACTAAAAATATAAAAAATTAGCTGGGCATGGTGGCACATGCCTGTAATCCCAATTACTTGGGAGTCTGAAGCAGGATAATCACTTGAACCCAAGAAGTGGAGGTTACAGTGAGCCAAGATCGCATCTCTGCACTCCAGCCTGGATGACAGAGTGAGAGACTCCATCTCAAAAATAAATAAATAAATAAATAAATAATCCAAATTAAGTTTTTGACATTTTTCTTCTTCTTTCTTTCTTCTTCTTCTTCTTTTTTTTTTTTTTTTAGATAGAGTCTTGCTCTATTGCCTAGACTGTAGTGTAGTGGCACGATCTTGGCTCACCGCAATCTCCGCTTCCCAGGTTCAAGCGATTCTCCTGCCTCAGCCTACCGAGTAACTGGGATTACAGGCATGTGCCACCATGCCCAGCTAATTTTTGTATTTTTAGTAGAGATGGGGTTTCACTATGTTGGCCGAGCTGGTCTCGAACTTCTGACTTTGTGACCTACCTGCCTTAGCCTCCCAAAGTGCTGGAATTACAGGTGTGAGCCACCATGCCTGGCTGTTTTTGACATTTTTCTATAGTGACAGTGTGGATGTGTATATAGTTATATTCAGAGATGTGGTATTTCATTTACACCATAGTTTGATGTTATTTTGTATTATTTGGGAATAGTGTTTGAAGTGTATAACAAAAGTGAGTTCGGTCTTTTCTGATTTCATAATGTTATGTTTCTGCTGCTATCTTTTTTCTCAGTACTATTACCTTCATTTTAAAGATTTTAAAAATGAATGAGAAAGACAACACATTCTTGTTCTTGGAATAATATACTGTATGTTTATAAGGTAAACTATCACAGTATAATATTGCTTTGAGTAATTCCACTAATAGTTATGAGTTTGTGTCTCATTTTTGCTGTAATCTTCCATACCAAGTGCAGAGCCCAACATACAAGTAGGTTCTCCATGTAAATTAGTTGAATGAATGAATTCATGAACTGTTTAGTAGCCAAAAATAAATTTAAGTTCTCTTTTCAGTTTCTAGTTCTTGCTCTGGTAGACCCTCTTCCATCCTTTTTAGTAGGTGTAGTCACATCAAACAGAACCAAAAAACTTAATTTCAAAGACTGGGTCTGGTGGCTCACACCTGTAGTAATCCCAGCCCTTTAGGAGGCTGAGGTAGGCAGATCACTTGAGCTCAGGAGTTTGAGACCAGTCTGGGTAACATGATGAAACCCTATCTCTACTAAAAATACAAAAATTAGCTGGGCATGGTGGTGCACACCTATAATCCCAGCCATTTGGGAGTCTGAGGCATAAGAATCACTTGAACTCAGGAGGTAGAGGTTGGGAAAAAAAAAAACTGAATTTCAGTTTTCTACATTTGGAAGCTAGGAATACTTGAGTTTCTAGTTTAATCTCTTTGGCTTCCAGTTTCTTGTGGACGTTTTGGAGGGAATGAAAGATAATTACAGATGGAAGAAAGAATGCTAACAGTCTGCCTCTCCAACTGTACATTTTTCTTTTCTTTTTCTTTTTTTGAGATGGAGTCTTTCCTGTCACCGGGCTGGAGTACAGTGGCACAATTTTGGCTCACTGCAACCTCCACCTCCCAGGTTCAAGCGATTCTCCTAACCTCAGCCTCTTGAGTAGCTGGGACTGCAGGTCCACGCGACCATACCCAGCTAATTTTTGTGTTTTTAGAGAAATGGGGTTTTACCATGTTGGCCTGGATGCTCTTCAACTCCTGACCTCATGATCCGTCTGCCTCAGCCTTCCAAAGTGCTGGGTTTATAGGCATAAGCTGTCATGCCCGGTCACCAACTGTACATTTTTCTTTGGGGTTAAATTCATTCATTAAAATCAAGTTGAGGCTGGGTGTGGTGGCTCATGCCTCTAATCCTAGCACTTCAGGAGGCTGAGGTGTTCCAGTCTGCCCAACATGGTGAAACCCCATCTCTATTAAAAATACAAAACTTAGCTGGGCCTGGTGGTGTGCACCTATAATCCCAGCTACATGAGAGGCTGAGGCAGGAGAATCACTTGAACCTGGGAGGTGGAGTTTGCAGTGAGCCAAGATTGTGCCACTATACTCCAGCCTGCCTGGGTGACAGAGCAAGACTCTGTCTCAGAAAAAAAAAAAAAAAAAATCAAATTGATCAGGTGCAAGCCTGTGAGATATTAACTTTATGCTCTCCATAAAGTTAATCCCTTCTTGGAAAGGATACATTTGTTAATCTTAGAACTATTACTAATGAGGGTTTATTTGGTTTTTAGAAAGCATTTTTTACAAACAGGAACATAACAAAAGGAATTAGATGTTTTCTTTAGTACCGCAAGTGTATTTTATTTTATTTTATTTTATTTTATTTTTTGAGACGGAGTCTCGTTCTTGTTACCCAGGCTGGAGTGCAATGGCGCGATCTCGGCTCACCGCAACCTCCGCCTCCTGGGTTCAGGCAATTCTCCTGCCTCAGCCTCCTGAGTAGCTGGGATTACAGGCACGCACCACCATACCCAGCTAATTTTTTGTATTTTTAGTAGAGACGGGGTTTCACCATGTTGACCGGGATGGTCTCGATCTCTTGACCTCGCGATCCACCCGCCTCGGCCTCCCAAAGTGCTGGGATTACAGGCTTGAGCCACCGCGCCCGGCCCGCAAGTGTATTTTAAAACATTGAAATGTGCTGGATGTGATGGCTCACGCCTGTAATCCCAGCACTTTGGGAGGCCGAGGCGGGTGGATCACGAGGTCAAGAGATCGAGACCACCCTGGTCAACATAGTGAAACCCCGTCTCTACTAAAAATACAAAAAATCAGCTGGGTATGGTGGTGCGTGCCTGTAATCCCAGCTACTCAGGAGGCTGAGGCAGGAGAATTGCCTGAACCCAGGAGGCGGAGGTTGCGGTGAGCCGAGATCACGCCATTGCACTCCAGCCTGGGTAACAAGAGCGAAAACTCCATCTCAAAACAAAACAAAACAAAACAAAACATTGAAATGTTAAACAGCTTATGAGAAAGGTTATAATTCCTTTCGTTTAGAGTCTTAATTTCTTTCCTGTTGATTCACAACCCATATATTCTGTCCATGTAGACACTAGAGAGATTCCTAGGGCTAACTGACCCATAAATGTCTTAATAAAAAATAATACCATTAGACTTCTGGTGTTTTGACTTTGTGACATTGTGTTTCCAGGTTTTAGAACTGCCAGAAAATGGGGTAAAATTATATATATATATATATATATATATATATATATATATATATGCATGCCTGTCATGGCCTCTTTCTGTATCCAATGGTGGATGGAACTGACTTTTATTTCTGATGCTATTTATAAGCATTTAGAAAAAGAGACTTTGTTTTGGAGACAGAGCCTTGCTCTGTTGCGCAGGCTGAAGTTTAGTGGCAGTGATCTCGGCTTTCTGCAACCTCCGCCTCCTGGGTTCAAGCAATTCTCCTGCCTCAGCCTCGGAAGTAGCCAGGCCTACAGGCAGCCGCCGCCACAGCCAGCTAATTTTTTGTATTTCAGTGAAGACAGGGTTTCACCATGTCGCCCAGGCTGATCTCAAACCCTTCAGCTCAGGCAGTCTGCCTGCCTTGGCCTCCCAAAGTGCTGAGCTGATAGGTGTGAGCCACCATGCCCATCCTGAAAAGCAGACATTTAAAAATCTCACAGAATAAAAATACTTGACAGAGCACTTTAATTTACCTGTGAGTCTTGTGTATCACTGTCATCTTGAGCGTGAAACACAGCAGCCGCGTTCTGTGGTCCTAGCAATCTGCGAGCCATCTTCTCTTCATATGTTAGCCGCTTTAAATAATTTATTGAGACAGTAATTAGATTTAATAAAGATGTTTGTACAGGTTTACCTTAAAACCACTGCTATAGGTCAGAACTTAAAAGTAGTTCTATCTATTGAATGATAGAGTATGTGGTTTTTTTGAAGTCTTTTCTTCCATTCAAAGCATTTTCCTTCTGTTCTAGTGCCATTTCCCTTACTTGCAGTAAAAGATTCACTTAGGCTTTCCTTTTGCTCTTATGAGCAAAAAAGGCAAGCATAATCACCCTTAAATAAGGATCTCCTAAGTAAAGGGAAATTCTTCCCTTTTTCTACATGTTCCACATCCCTCCCTTGTTCTACATGTTCCAGTCAACTTTGTTTTTGAGTCCTTACATTTAGAATAATTTTTATTTAATTAATTAATTTATTTTTGAGACGGAGTCTTGTTCTGTTGCCCAGGCTATAGTGCAGTGGCACAATCTCGGTTCACTGCAACCTCTGCCTCCTGGGTTCAAGTAATTCTCCTTTCTCAGCCTCCCAAGTAGCTGGAACTACAGGTGCATGCCACCTTACCTGGCCAAGTTTTGTATTTTTAGTAGAGATGGGGTTTCACCATATTGGTCAGGCTGATCTTGAACTCCTGACCTCAGTGATCCACCCGCCTTAGCCTCCCAAAGTAATGGAATTGTAGATGTGAGCCACTGCACCCAACCAGAAATAGCTTTTATTAAATGGGCGCTGAATACTTGACTGTACTAACTTCTAACTGAGAGCAGTGCAACTGATAGGCTAAATGTATTTGTATTAAAGGCCTATAGTACTGTTTAAAGATAAGTTACTAATATATACACAATAAGAACTACATAAAAATTATAATTATCTGTCAATATTATATATCCAAGTACGCTAAGTTGAGTTGACAGTAATTCCTATTAGTTCTTTGAGCATCAAACATATTTTATGAGAGGATAATATTTAAAACAGAAAAATTTCATCAAATCATTCAGATAGATTTTTCATTTGCTTCATTCTTTTACTGCTGTAAACCAAGAGGTGATATCATGCAGAGAAAAATGGAATAGGGACCAAATACTCCTTCTTTTTAAATAATCTTATTCCTTGCTGATTATATGGACATAGATCTGTGAGATAAAACTTCCTTATTAAAATTAGATTTATAGTTTAATTGGCCTTTTGTACAAAATAGACATCTTGCCCACTTGATTTCCATTATGAAGAAGGGTGTCTTTGCATTTCAGCTTTCTTTCCAAATCTTGAATCAAAGCTTCTTTTGATCCTTGTATTTCATAATCAGGAGTTCTTGGTGTGGGCTTAGCATTTGCAGTTTGGGATGGATTAGCATTTACAGGTTGGCCAGCTGAGGACTGTCGATAGCTTTAAAAAGAAGAAAGAAAAGATTTTTAAAAAGAAGATCTTGGGCTCATTTTGTAAGTTACCTTTAGATATGTTGAGTTTATTATCACTTAGTACTACCAGTATTATTAAAAACAAATTTTTCTAACAACAGAAATATTTTATAAGAATGGCTAGCATCTTTTTTTTTTCCTTTTGGCAAATGGAAATTAAGTGGCAGGAGGAAGAATTTAAATTAGATATAAGGAGGATGTCCTTTCTTGATGATCTTCCCTAAAGAATGTGAGAGTAGTTAATGGCAGCTTGAGAGCTCTTCCAACCTTATGACTGAATTTCTTTTTTAAAAAAAATTTAGATTCTGGGAATACACAGGCAGGTTGGTTACATGGGTATATTGTGTGATGCTGGAGTTTGGCCTTCTAATGATTCTGTCACCCAAGAGGCGAACATAGTACCCGATGGGTAGTTTTTGAACCCTTTTCTGTCTCCTTCTCCCCTTCCTGATTTTGGGATCTCCAGTGTTTATTGTTTTCATCTTTGTGTCCATATGCACCCAATGTTTAGCATTCACTTACCAGTGAGAACATGCTCTATTTTGTTTTCTGTTTCTGTGTTAATTTGCTTAGGATAATGGCCTCAACTGCATCCATGTTGCTGCAAAGGACATGATTTCATTCTTTTTTATAGCTGTGATGACTGAATTTCTTGTTTGATTTATGGGTAGATATTAAGTGGTGCTGTGCTAGAACTGGTTCATATGGGCTGATGTTTAGCATCTTTTCCCAGCTTCCTGTGATTTCCTGTTATAGTTTGAAATTGGTTGTGGTGGAAATATTTACACCAGGGAAATTGGTAAATACCACAAATAATGGCTCTTTCATCCAATGATTGTTAGACATTTACCAGCACATCGCTGGCATTTAGTGAATAATCTGTTGCTTTGAATGGAGTCTACTGTTTACACAGTCATTGACTTTCCTATAATTTCCAATTCCTATTCATTTCATATTCTAGAAAATTCAAGTATGGCACTATGTAACAGCAACTAACTTCTGAAGTAATGACAGTTTCTTCAACATTGTGGAAGTGATTTTTAGAGAAAGAATGGGATGATTTGAGGAAGGAGAAAGAAATATAAACTGGAAAAAAAGCAGATAAATAGTCTTTATTTCAAGTTCTGATCCTAAATTTTTTCTAGGATGTCCTTGCCCCTCTCGTATTTCCCTTGTGGATTCTGATAGAGGATAGGGTGGTATTTAGAGAGTCCTGTATTTTTAGGTCTGTTAGGTAACTTACACGTATTACAGTGCTTGATTCAGTTTTTACCTAGTTTAACCATTTAGAACCCTGCAGGGGCTAATCTTTATTTTTAATTATTATTTATTTTTTTGAGATGGAGTCTCGCTTTGTTGCCCAGGCTAGAGTGCAGTGGCAGGACTTGGCTCATTGCAACCTCTGCCTCCCATGTTCAAGCAATTCTCCTGCTTCAGCCTCCTGAGTAGCTGGGATAACAGTCATCTGCCACCACATCCAGGTAATTTTTGTATTTTTAGTATAGATGGGGTTTTGCCATGTTAGCCAGGCTGGTCTCAAACTCCTGACCTCTGGTAATCTGCCTGTGTTGGCCTCCCAAAGTGCTGGGATTACAGGTTTGAGCCACCTTGCCCAGCCTTTGGGGGTAATCCTTATTAATCTATTTAATGTGAGGAAACTGGCCACTGCCCTCAGTGAGTGTTTTACCATTATTATAATGAATGTTCTACAGCTATCCAGATGAGGCAATCTTGGTCTCTTCTCTGAAATTATCTTTTCCAAATATTTTCAAGGATCATTAAAAAGACTTGTGAGCTAAGTGGAAATGTATTTCCTCAAGTAGGGCCAGAGTTTTAATTTTTGCTGGCTTTAGGGACTTGGTTAGTAATCATTAGATTGTAAACATTCTGGAGAAAAAAATATGTCTTATTTTTCATCGTTATATCATTTATATCCATGAACACAAAGCATGGGTATAGGAGATACTATCAGTTGAGTAAATGAGTGATTTCCATTGTATTCAGTACACTCTGTTGAAGGCTAGTAACATACATTTCCTCTCTTGACATTTCAGGTCTTAAGATCTTCATGGTTGTCTGTATTAACCTTTAACTAAAGTCTGATTTGTTTGGTGAATTAAATAGCCAAACAAAATGTTTTTCAGAAAGTGAACTTTTAAAAATATAGAACTTTTTTTTTTTTTTTTTAAGATTGAATTCCGGGCCGGGCGCGGTGGCTCAAGCCTGTAATCCCAGCACTTTGGGAGGCCAAGGCGGGTGGATCACGAGGTCAAGAGATCGAGACCAGCCTGGTCAACATGTTGAAATGCCGTCTCTACTAAAAATACAAAAAACTAGCTGGGCATGGTGGCGCATGCCTGTAATCCCAGTTACTCAGGAGGCTGAGGCAGGAGAATTGGCTGAACCCAGGAGGCGGAGGTTGCGGTGAGCCGAGATCGCGCCATTGCACTCCAGCCTGGGTAACAAGAGCGAAACTCCGTCTCAAAAAAAAAAAAGAATTCCTAGATCAAAGTGGCAAAATCTCTTTGGTTTTATAGATCTCATATTTTTCAAATTATAATAGCCTAGTGTTTTTATTTATTTATTTATTTATTTATTTTTTTTTGAGGGGGAGTTTCGCTCTTGTTACCCACGCTGGAGTGCAATGGCGCGATCTCGGCTCACCGCAACCTTCGCCTTCTGGGCTCAGGCAGTTCTCCTGCCTCAGCCTCCTGAGTAGCTGGGATTACAGGCACGCGCCACCATGCCCAGCTAGTTTTTTGTATTTTTAGTAGAGACGGGGTTTCAACATGTTGACCAGGTTGGTCTCGATCTCTTGACCTTGTGATCCACCCGCCTCGGCCTCCCAAAGTGCTGGGATTACAGGCTTGAGCCACCGCGCCCGGCCTTGTTTTTGTTTTTGAGACAAAGTTTCATTCTTGTCCCCTAGGCTGTAGCACAATGGCATGATCTTGGTTCACTGCAACCTTTGCCTCCTGGGTTCAAGCGATTTTCTACCTCAGCCTCCTGAGAATCTGGGATTACAGATGTTTGCCACCACACCAGGCTAATTTTTGTATTTTTAGTAGAGACAGGGTTTTACCGTGTTGGCCAGGCTGGTCTCGAACTCCTGACCTCAGGTGATCCATCTGCCTCGGCCTCCCAAAGTGCTGTGATTACAGGCATGAGTCACTGCACCCAGCCTTTTCTTTTCTTTCTCTCTTTTTTTTTTTCCGAGACTAAGTTTTGTTCCTGTTGCTCAGGCTGGAGTGCAAGGGCAAGGTCTTGGCTCACTGCAACCTCCACCTTCCAGGTTCAAGCACTTCTTCTGTCTCAGCCTCCCAAGTAGCCTGCCATCATGCCTAGCTAATTTTTTTTGTATTTTTTTTTTTTGAGACGGAGTTTCGCCCTTGTTACCCAGGCTGGAGTGCAATGGCGCAATCTCGGCTCACCGCAACCTCCGCCTCCTGGGCTCAGGCAATTCTCCTGCCTCAGCCTCCTGAGTAGCTGGGATTACAGGCACGTGCCACCATGCCCAGCTAATTTTTTGCACTTTTAGTAGAGACGGGGTTTCACCATGTTGACCAGGATGGTCTCGATCTCTCGACCTCGTGATTTTTTTGTATTTTTTTAGTAGAGACAGGGTTTCACCATGTTGGCCAGGCTGTCTCAAACGCCTGGCTTTAGGTGATCTGCCGGCCTTGGCCTCCCAAAGTGCTAGGATTACAGGTGTGAGCCACCTGTTGTTGTTGTTGTTTTTTTTTTAATGCTAGCTTACCATCTTTGTAAGTTACACATTTGTTAAACGCGAATTAGCATTAAATAATTGTTTTTAGACTTGTCCTATCTGGGAAATTCTTAATATATCTGAGAAATCCTGAAGGATTATCAAAACCAATCCTGAGAATGACTGATGTGTATGTAATCTCAGTTACTTTGTTCACTGAATACCCTCATTATTCCCAGTTTAGATAGCTTAAGTGTTAGGACTTGATAAATGTTCCTATTTACAAACTAATACTATGTTTGCACACTGCTTTATAGGTTCTTTCTCTATTATTAATTACCTAACTCCTTAGTATTGCCACAGACCAGAAAACTGAAGCACTGGGTAGTAAAGTGCTTGCTGAATTTCATATTGAAAGCTTTTGGGAAGAATAATTGAGTTCCCCTCAATTTGCAGTCTGTAGTTTGATCAACTGGGTAAAATGTTTGCTTAAGAGCTTCCTATTGATGAAAACCTAAATAAAGGTTTCAGACTTCTCTAGGTCAGAATCCAAGGGATTATTTTGGAATTCAGGGCAAATTGGAGCCCCTCATAACAATGAGGGAGTTGTGCACAAATGTTCAAAGGGCCAGGGCTTTCCACTCTGTACAGCTGGACATGAGTATCAAGTGGCTATGAGAAGATTAAAGATTTATCTGTGGTTGCTGAAAATGGAACAGCTAAAGCTGGATCTTTGATCTCTGGTTTGGGGACCTTCTAGGCTTTATTTCTTATTATAGTTTTGCCTTTCTCTCTCTCTCTCTCTCTCTCTTTTTTTTTTTGAGATGGAGTCTTGCTCTGTCTCTCAGGCTGGGGTGCAGTGGTGCAGTCTCAGCTCACTGCAACCTCTGAATCCCAAGTTCAAGCGATTCTTCTGCCTCTGCCTCCCAAGTACCTAGGATTACAGGTACCTGCCCCTGTGCCCAGCTAATTTTTGTATTTTTTAGAGAGATGGAGTTTCGTCATGTTGGCCAGGCTGTTCTGGAACTCCTGACCTCAGGTGATCCACCTGCTTCGGCTTCCCAAAATGCTGGGATTATAGGCGTGAGCTATTAGGCCTGGCCTCTTTCTCTTTTCTTAGGTTTTTGATAACTTCCTTTTCTGGGGAGTAATTTGGAATAGAACTGAAAGACTTTACTAAGAAAAACAGGAAAAGTTCTTTTACATTTTAAAATGCTAATATAGGAAATATGAAAATAATAGAAAGCTAGACAGAAAATGATCATCAGGGTAAATGTAACCAAGAAAAATCTACTATATATTATGAATATAAAGGGAATTGAGGGGGGGGAAGAGAAAGAAAGGGCTCTCAATTATCGAAAGCATCCTTTTAAAATATTAGGTTAAACCTATGAGAATGCTATTTTTGTAGGTCAAAAACAGTTGATTATCAGCCATTTCAAATGGTTCAACTTAGTATCTGTAGGATTCTAACAAATGTTTTTGGTTTTCCTGATTTTTATTTTTTTAAATATTGAAAAGGTGTTTTTGCAAGCTGAATTGCTATAGTCGGTTCAACTAGGTTTCCAAAGTTGTCACCAAAAATAGGAGTTTCTAGACAAATTAGCCTTTAGAGAAGATTGTGAGAAATTAGTGGAGTTGAGCGAATGTATCAGTACGCCTGCAACAAAACATATTCCATTGGACAATTTTTGAGATGCCTCTGATTCAATTCTCTGATGTTCTAGCCAGCCAAGGAACAGGAAATCTGATAGCCTTTAGTTTGCATAAGCACAAGGTATTCAGTTCATGTTTTAAAAAAAGCATAACCATCATGTCCTTTTTCATATCGGGTTCTCCCAGGACAGTCTTAGGGCAGTAGAAATAGCACATGTTTTCATAAGGCCTCAGTATTAGTCCCTGCATTTAGATCAACCCAACTAATTTGAACAAGGTGTGGTTTTAATTAACAGAAGAAACCTTAAGGTCATAAGCCTTCATCTATTCAGGCCCTCCTTCTGATCATGGTAAGGAAAATGTATACACTCGAGGGTCTGAGTTCCAGATTTTTTTTTATTTGTTAATTTAAAATTTTTTCAGCCAAGTGGATGTTCAGGATTAGAGGGGAAAAGGGAAAGGAAGAAAAGACTGAGAAGAAACTTAATAGCCTTTGCTTATGTGATAGGAAATCCTATCTGAAGAAGAGCAGACAGGTGTTCATCTCAGCTGAGCCCAGAACCAGAGGAATTAAATTTACAGCATGAGGAGCTTAGCTTAGAACTAAAGGAAAAGCTTATTGTTCTTGGGTATGTGAGGAATTGTTTTTTCAAAGATGGAAGATAATAGGTAAATAATTTTATGGGGTAATAGGTAATTTGGGTTCAGCTCAGCCTGGACACTGGAGAATCGTCAGATGACCTCTTATTGCCAGTATGCTGGTTCAGCATGTTCTAGTAGAACTATGAAATGAGACCATTAGGTCACACTGCCTTTTTAAAAAATGAACTGCAGCGTAATCCCAAAACTAACCCCCACCCCCCTGCAAACTCCTCAGATACAAGTTCACTGTACATGCAGTATGTAAAAATTCACTTACTTGGAATCCATAGTGGAAGGGATTTTACTGCTATTATAATCAGGCTGTGATGGTAATATGGAGCTGAGGAAGCTGGCTGGGGACTGGTTATAGGTGGTTGTAACCCTTTGACCTGGGTTGGAGCCAGCAGGCTGCTGAGGAGAAGCAGGGAAAGCAGGGGAGGACATGGTGATGTGAGAGCTCACTGTTGAGGAGGCAGAAAATCTTTGTTCTGTACACTGGCGGGGCTGGATGATAATGGAAGACTGTTTGGTCTGGCTAGAGAAGCTGGAGGTTTCTGGTCCAGGAGGCTGCAGTCTGGAGCTACATGGGCTTTGAGACTGGATGAAGTGTTTTGGACGTTCGTAGTTAAACATGCTTAGTTGGTATGTGGAAGATGAAGGCACGTTATTACTGTAATGATTTGTTCCTGGAAGGGTGGGGCCCTGACTTTGGAGCCACAAGCCTGGAATTATGGAAGGTTGCAAGGAATCAGAAGCAACCTTGGTCTGCTCTTCCTCGTTGAGATCCTGAGAATACTGTACTCCTGGCTGTGGTAGAGTGAGCTTCTCTTGAAGAATATTGTTCCTTCAAAAGGAGAAAATAATTGTTAAATATTTGCTTAAACAATAACATTGTTTATTTGACATCTTTCAGATCTTATGTGCTTTTTCTTTTCTTTTCTTTTCTTTCCTTTCTTTCTTTTCTTTTCTTTCTTTTTTTTTTTTTTTTGAGACAGTATCTTGCTTGGTTGCCCAGACTATCATAGCTCACTGCAGCCCCTCCAACTCCTGGGCACAAGCGATCTTCCCACAAGCAATCTCCAGAAGAAGGACTACAGGTGTAAGCCACCACCATGCCTGGCTAACTTTTCTTTCTTTCTTTTGTAGAGACAGGGTCTTACTATGTTGCCTAGGCTGGTCTTAAACTCCTAGCCTCAAGCAGTCCTCCCACCTCAGCCTCCCTTGGTACTGGGGTTATAGGCATGAGCCACTGCACCCAGCTGAGTGGATTGTTTTCTTTTTTTCATATGCAAAAATCCTTTATTGTTGAGGAGTAGAGAGAGACATTATGTTTTTAATGTAGGACACTTCAGGAACTCTAGGGGACTCCTATAGTCAATACCCATTGTGATTGGGGATATTCTCTATGCAGTTTCCACACCAGGGTCAGGTAGAAAAGATGGGGAAGAAATCAAGCCACAAGAATGTTACAAGAATGGGGAAGAGAAAGTACAATAGGAGCATGTGCACTTGGGGATTGGGGCCGGGAGACAGGTCTTCCTGATGCAGTCCAAGGGTCCAAAAATGGAGTGCTCATTTTGCGCTGGGGTATACCCTTGAGGGTGCTGAAGCTGGGGACATTCTCTTGATTCCCATCAGTAGGAGAGTCTGGCTGGACGCTCCTCTTGCTCATAAGTCCTGCATGTTACATATCTGGAGAAGTGGTGTTTCTGATTTCCTAGAATCCAAGATAGCCTGGCTCAGGGCTATGAGCAGTTTCTCCAGAGAGAAGGAATGGATTTCGTAGAGTCTCTGAACCAGCTGGTAGAGATTCATGTCCTTCTTGTTGTGGCCCCCTGAGAGATACCACCTCCTTCTGTGACTCATTACAGATGGCCCCAAAGCTCTGAGCTAGGCTGAAGGCCAGGATGGCTGTGAATAGCAGCGTGATCCTCATGGTGCCTGTTGGAGCAGCCCTGTGCCTGGGGCTGGGTGGTCTGGCAGGATTAGGGAGCTGGCTAGCAGTGCTGCCTGCTCCCCTCACACCTGGTGCTGCCTGTGCTGCTGCAAAGAGACTGAGTGGAGGGGATCTGGGAAGGCCGATTGTTTTTTAACCTTGTAATTCATTGCTTCTTTTTCTCTCCTTGACTCCTTTGAATGTAGTACTAAACTACATGTTAATTAAGGAATGACTGTGTGTGTATGTATTTGTGTAGAATATATGTTACAGGTGGCATTCCAGAGTCATTTATAAATTTTTCTGTTTTTATTATGTATTTTAAAACAGAATCATACCTTATAATTCTGTCATTTTTAGATTATACTTTCTAGTTACTGATCTTGATGTTCTTTTAATTATTTAGAATTTTACCTTTTATTATTTTTACTTGTTTAGTATGTATTTTAGACTAATTTTATTTTTGGTCTTTTTTTTGCCACACCTTTGGAGATCTCAGACTAATTTTGAAATTGCTTTAACTCTTCTACTTTTTCTTTTCAAATGGCAAATGGGAAGCATAGAAGTAAATAAGACATGTATGAAACTAGTCTATACCTTACCAAGAAAAGACGGGTAACATTCCTCCTACTTAGCTCCGTAGTGGCCCTCCTCCCTTTCTACAGTAGATCCTTATTTTTTCTTAGATGAAACATTTGCCATGAAAGTCAACCTTGAAGGATTATATTTGCCTGATTTTTTTCCATTACTATGGTAAACCTAAGCGGGACTATATATAGGCATGCATACAAAGACTAGCCCTATAAATTGTTTTAACACTAATCCTGTTTTCATTCAAAATATCAGATAAATGAATTAAAAAACATTTGCATATTTTGTTTAATACAGTATAAGCTGATACTGAGATAATGACAAATTGAACTTTTAACTGAAAAATTAACCAAATTGTTTGTCATCATTGAAACTAAGTCTTTTTTTTTTTTTTGAGATGGAGTTTCGCTCTTGTTACCCAGGCTGGAGTGCAATGGCGCGATCTCGGCTCACCGCAACCTCCGCCTCCTGGGTTCAGGCAATTCTCCTGCCACAGCCTCCTGAGTAGCTGGGATTACAGGCACGTGCCACCAGGCCCAGCTAATTTTTTTTGTATTTTAGTAGAGACGGGGTTTCACCATGTTGACCAGGATGGTCTCGATCTCTTGACCTCATGATCCACCCGCCTCGGCCTCCCAAAGTGCTGGGATTACAGGCTTAAGCCACCGAGCCCGGCCGAAACTAAGTCTTATAATTATTTTAGTTACTGTCTTGGATAAAATGTCATTAATGAAACTTTTCCAGACCAAACAGTTTCATCCTAAATAATAGGATACTTTCAAAAAATAGTATTTCAAGGTTACCTATGTAGTTTAGAGTTAAATTAAAATTAGCAATTTTAGGAAAGAACAGAAATGCAACTAAACAGCCAAGAGAAAGACTCTGTTGAAAAAGAATATTTAGGCCGGGCGCGGTGGCTCAAGTCTGTAATCCCAGCACTTTGGGAGGCTGAGGCGGGTGGATCACGAGGTCAAGAGATCGAGACCATCCTGGTCAACATGGTGAAACCCCGTCTCTACTAAAGATTCAAAAAATTAGCTGGGCATGGTGGCACGGGCCTGTAATCCCAGCTACTCAGGAGGCTGAGGCAGGAGAATTGCTTGAACCTAGGAGGCAGAGGTTGCGGTGAGCCGAGATCGCGCCATTGCACTCCAGCCTGGGTAACAAGAGTGAAACTCCGTCTCAAAAAAAAAAAAAAAAAAAAAAAGAATATTTAAAAAGTTAAATATTCCATAATTTCAAGTTTATGAACACAAATACATTAAACTAGAATGCATTTTAGAAATGAACTACCTGTGGCATTTAAATTGTTGGGGGGAAAACATCCTGAAGGAGGGCCTTAAGTAGATTTTTTAAAAAAGTCTATTTCAAGGCAAGTAGTTTTGTAGTTATGGGTTTATTCAGTCTGTTGCAGAATTGAATCCGGAGTTTGATTCCTAATTTCTTTCTGGGCAGGTACATTATTCAGGCTCATTTCAAGTAGCAAGGAATAAATAGTTTATCTTTTCCAAAAACAGTTATTTTTTCTTTACATGTATTTTCAGAATGTCAGCTGTCTTGTACATGTTGATATTGGCCTACATTGTTAATTATTAGGGATATTTTAAAAGCCCAATTAAAAATTTGTTATTTCAAAAGTTTCATTTTATCCACGTGTCAACAAAATTTTATACAGACATTTACACAGGTAATTCTGTGAGTCTTTTCTTTATGTTTGTAGTTACTGTTCAACAATTTAATTCTATAATAGATTCTGTTGTATGACAGTATTTTATTCCAAATAATGTTAAATGAATTTCAAAGATTTTATAAATAAAGTACTAGTCAGTCTCCTGTTTTAAAAATCTTAACCTTTTTTTCCTATCTCTAATATAGCATAAACTTGCACAGAAGACTAAGAGAAGATACGTTGAGTTCATAAGACATCACCACAATTACATCAGATCAAGTGTCCCTTTTCAAGGAAAAATGGTGGTTTAAAAATAATGACACACAGCTATCTTTCCTTCTATCATTTGTATCATGCTTTCCGGTCTCAATGAAATGAATGAGTCATTTTCACTTTAAATCTTTGTATAATACTGTTACAATGTTGTGGCTTTCAAACTTTTTATCTGAAAATTATCTTTTTATACACTCATCTGATTTGGACAAAAAACAAAAACAAGACCTAAAAGTGTAGCAGGAATAAAGAAGGGACTTACCCGTAGTTCCAGAGGGTGCCAGCTGGGTTTAACCCACTATTGAAGGGAAGGAAGAGGCATCTCCTTCCCTCACAGACTAATCTAGTGGCTCTGTGCTTAGTATTATAGCACCACTGACTTTTATCAGCTGCCAAACAGTGACATCTGATGTGCTTGCCTGTCCATCTACCTATGCTGGCATGTCAAAGTAAGAGTCCACAATCTAAACAATATCTCAGATGTCTTAGTGATATTTAAGGAGTGGGATTACATGAGCCTCTCTTGCAAGCCTCTTTATTTTAGACGTGAATTTTGACTATGAACTTTAGCAAGCTCATGTGAGGGAAGGGCAGTGAATAGGGAAATGGGAAAAATAGAAAAAAAGAAACCCTCTTATTTCTTTATTATGGTGGGGACTTTGAATTTTCCTGGTTTAAGAGACAGGACTAAAGGGAAAATAGTATTTCAAGAGTGGAGTTCTTCTGTCTATTATACTAAGACTTCTTCAGCAATAAGACCAGTGATAGATGGGCTCCAAATTGATTCGTATTGCATAATTCTTCATCTGAAGTCTTTTTTTACTTTTGCCTAATGAGAGTGGGATTCAATAATAGATTTGCAGTCTCTTAGTACTAGCAATTTGGTCTGAGGTGGAGTGTAGTCTGGGCAAAGCAGGAGACCAGGGTCATGATGACATGTTATTGGGAAGGTGGGGAGGTAGGAAAACATGAGTGTGTTTGTTCAGCAAGTTTTCTGAATCTGTATGGCATATGCCCCTTTTGCCTAGTACTTTTGTTTTAAAAGAGTTTTAAAACACTTAACCAACCAAATAAGCAATCTATATAATTAGAGCTGTTAATGCATGTTCATCTCCCTTTACTCCTAACAGTTACATAGTTTCCTTTTACTTTTTATCACGGAGACCATCATGGTATTTAGGTTTCCATTTTTGTGCAGGGAAGTAAATAATTGCAGAAGAAAATGTCTAATCAACAAACGTTGCGAAGTAGGGTAGGTGGCATGAGAATCAGGCCAATGGAATAGAATTATCTCCATGGAGTGGCTTCGGTTCCCCTCCTTCATGGGTAGGTACCCCAATCTTGATTTAATCAACATGTACATTTAGGGTCCAGCAAATAGGTATTTGAGCACATATGAGCCATATAAGATTCTTTACAGCTGACTACAGCTGACCATGTAGGTGTACCTTTCTTTGGTGTTCAAAGAAAGTTTGATAATTTCTGCCTGGGCGTGCAGCCCTTAGTAGAAAAAACACGCTAGACTTGGTGAGTAGGTGGTTGCCTACAAAGTCTTATTTCAGTAGTCTCCCAAAATATTCCTCAACATCTGTTCACTGATATTTCAAATTCCATTAATAGAGACAAAGGCTTTCAATCTAAATTAGAGAGACTTAAAAAGCAAATGCAAGTGATAGAATAAAAATAATAATAGCCAGTATACAGCATTTATTATGAGTAAGACACTTCTCCAAGCATTTTATTTTATTATTAGATTTTTTTTTTTTTTTAAGAGACAGGGTCTTACTCTGTCACCCAGGTTGGAGTGCAGTAGTATGATCATAACTCACTGCAGCCTCAAACTCCTGGGCTCAAGAGCTCTTTCCTCTGCAGCCTTTCAAGTAGCTAGGGCTACAGGCATGCACCACCATACCCAGCTAATTTAAAAATTTTTTCATAGAGACAGAATTTCACTATGTTGCCCAGGCTGGTCTCAAACTCCTGGCCTCAAGCAATCCTCCTACATTGGCTTCTCAAAGCACTGGAATTATAGGCATAAACCACATGCCCAGCCTATTCTAAGCATTTTAAATGTGGTATATGTGACTGACATTTGGTTCTACTGAAGAACAGGGTTTTTGATTAGGGCAAGGAAAAGGAAAGAATCGATTTGAGATATCTTAGTACTAAAAGTTTGAGGTATACCTCACCAGCCAAGTAAGGTAGCCCTCCAGGATAACTAAATTCCCGATTTTGCCTATAGCAGGTTCTAAACGTACTACACTTGGGGAAGAATTTAGTTGCCCTTACTCTTTGTCTTTCAAGCTTTGCCTCTTCTCTAGGTCTTTGTAAGATATAACCCAGGTACAGTGTGATACATGTGATGGCCTCTATGGTACATCAAAGCTAAAGTTTTTTGCTATAATATGGGACAAACGGATGAAAAAAGAAAGGTAAGTAGGTCCTCATCTCAGTAGTCAGGGGTCTGTCTATATTTAATAATCTGTAAATTTGTTTTTTTCCTGTCTTTTAACGTTTGATTTGCTTTTTTGAATGGTGGTTTGTTTTCTCAAAAATATGGCTATTTGAATGGTTTAGTTGCCTATTTGAGAAAAATCATAGAATCTTAAGACTGGAAGAATTATTACAATGCCAGATGGTGAACTTTTATTGTAACCTGCTCACAAAGACAACCTTTTCCTTTTCCATTTCTTTTTCTAAAGTATAAGAGCCTTCTGTAAATTATTCAAATGCCTTACAAAATATAGTAACTTCCTACTATCTCACTGAACCCTTTCCTATAACATGTTAAGGGAATTCCTTGTCTATCATCAGTTTCAGAAACAGGGTAGCTATTTAACTGTCACTCATTCCTCCCTCTTCACATATAGCTTTTGTCTTCTTTCAAAAATATAAGGGATATATGCTGTTGTAAAAATGGTGCTGCAAGCTTCTTCTGAAGTCAGAGGTCAGATGTGTGTGATGAAATTCATTTATGCTATATCAAATGAAAAGGAAAATGTCACATTGAGGATGGAAGAACTAAAGAGTGAAGAAAGTTTGATTTTAGTTTACACATAATTTACTGTGGTTATTGAAGTTCTGCATAGACATATAATGAAAGGGAATCCCACTGTAGCATTTGTAATTTGAACTATCCAGTCTACCATTTGACTCAATCTTATATTATTCTCAAGCAAAAAATAATAATGGACTCCACTGGGTTTGGAGTTAAAGAATACAAATGATAACATTAATTTGGCTAATGCTCTACAACTTTCTAGATATATTCACCTTTTGTTATCTGTTTTTGGAGAGCTGTGTGTGAGAGCCTACTCTACCACATACTTGCTGTATAGCCTTAAACAAATTGCTTAAGCACTGAACTTTAATAACTAATTGAAAAATGAGGCTAGGCATGGTGGAGCATTTCTGTAGTCTCAGCTACTTGGGAGGCTGAGGTGAGAAAATTGCTGGAGCCCAGGAGTTCAAGGCTGCTGTGAACCATGATCACACCACTGCATTCCAGCCTGGGTGATACAGCAAGACCTAGGACCTGGACTCACACACACAAAAAAGTACCACGTTTATCAACCTAAATCAGATGATTCCTGAGAGACTCAAATGAAATGGGAAGTCATGTAATGGACATTCTGTGGGCTTATCTCCTTAACTAGATTAAAAAATTTCTGAGGGAGGGACTGTTTACTACTTATTTATCTTGCTGAACACAGTGTGTCTCATAGTAGACACTTAATAAAAACTTGTTAACCTTTATGGAATATTTACCCAATAGTTTTCTCCACAGATGATTTTACTAATGAAAATGATAATCACTTATGAAAGATACTAACTTACAAGTTCAGGGTCTTTTAACGTTTTATTTGCTTATTTTTATTTTTGAGATGGGATCTTGGCTCACTGCAATCTCCACCTCCTGGGTTCAGGTGATTCTCCTCCCTCAGTCTTGAGGGTAGCTGGGATTATAGGTGTCTGTCACCTCACCCAGCTAATTTTTTTTTTTTTTTAAGTTTTAGTAGAGACGGGATTTTACCATGTTGGCCAGGCTGGTCTCGAACTCCTGACCTCAGGTGATCTGCCTGCCTCGGCCTCCCAAAGTGGTGGGATTACAGGCATAAGCCACTGTGCCCAGCCCCTAGGTTATTTTTTAAACAATATTTTGATTTGAGGTTTGTTTTGGGGGTAGGGAAGTGGCAAATGGTGGTGGATTGTGTTGTTTTAAACATAACCTGGTGGGCAAATTCACTTAACTGAATTATCTTAACATGTTTACATTTGCTTTCCAAACACAGAGTCAGTTCTGTTTTTATTTTAAGGTCTGTTTTTCTTTGTGAATAAAGAGGAAACCTGCATCACAAAATGTTTTACGTTTTTATATTGAGATAGGAAACTGAATTCTATTTTGGGAAGAGACTCCACTTCTTCAAAATCTTGTGTGATTTTTTCTTTTTGGTTTTTTTTTTTTTTTTTTTTTTGAGACAGAGTCTTGCTCTGTCACTCAGGCTGGAGTGCAATGGCACGATCTTGGCTCACTGCAACCTCCACTTTCTGGTTTAAGCAGTTCTGGTGCCTCAGCCTCTTGAGTAGCTGGGACTACAGGTGCGCATCCCCAGGCCCAACTAATTTTTTTTTTGTATTTTTAGTAGAGATGGGTTTTTGCCATCTTGGACAGGCTGGTCTCAAACTCCTGACTTCAAGTAATCCACCTGCCTCAGCCTCCCAAAGTTTTAAGATTACAGGCGCGAGCCACCATACCAGCCTGATTTTTTTTCCCCAATAAGTCTATGTAGAAAACGCTTAAATGTGAATCTAAGCACAGGGCTTAATATTTCAGCCATAGTGAAATGCATGCTGAAAAGCAAGGGAGGACCGACACAGTTAAAGTGACTCATGTCAGAATGCAAAATCCCTGAGGATGGAGCTTTGTCATGATCTATCTATAGAACCAGGAATGTTTGTTGAATGAATGAATGTTGCGTCTGTCTCCCCTTATTACTATGCTTGCAGCTCAAAGGTATTTCCACTGATGGTACAGAAGTCCTTCTTTGGAACCTGGATCTCATATTCATTATAACTGGCTGGTTCAGGAGTAATTGGCCTAAAGTTTATGGGGGGTATTGTCTGGATTTGTGTCCTTTGTTTAGCTTTCAGTGCTTCAGGGAGAGGCCAGTTTTGGAGAAAATTTGCTCTTGGATAACTTGGGAGGACGCTCTGATTTCTCTACTACTTTTCTTTCTGAAAAATATACTTAATCATGAGTTCAGATGGAAACAAAAACTCTTCCTTTTGGCTCAGGGCTGAATTGTAGCAAGAAGATTTTGAAGAGTTATTACCTGGGGAAATGAAGAGTTTTGCTGTGGAAATTGCAGTGCCAGCCTCATTTTCTGCAATACACTTGAACTCCCCAGAGTCTTGAGGA